ACCAGTATAATGAAGATGGTTGAACTTTCTAGACCATTGTATAGTATAATATACATAATGTGACTGTAGACGACCTTGGTTTATTGGAAACGTGATAAACCCATAGCATATGCCCCTGTCTTCCGGCTGGTTAGCCATAGCATCCCTCTGAGTTTGCCGATTGGTGTTTGAGGTCATAGCTCTAGAGTTCTTCCATATTCTGTTTCTTTTCTTTCTCCTATGTGTTTAAAAGAATAAGCAAACAGAATTTTTTTTAAATCTTATCCTGGTGGAGAGCATGTCTATGCTTTGACTAGTTCGATTCTAGCCTAAGATCTTGACAATCATATTTAATTTTTTTTTTAAAAATATTAAGGGGCTCTTTAACAAATTTAGGGTAAAAATCATTTGGGATTTCACAAAATAAATGTTATTCTATTTACATTTCTCGCTAATTAACTAACTTTAGTATATACAAATAATAAGAAATGAGTGGTAAAAATTGAAATTTTGTTAAATATTTATTTGATAGAATTATTGAAACGGATTAAAATATGAATCTAAGATCCAGAATATAGGGTTAAAATAAGATTTTGGATATGAGAACCTTCTTTAGTTTTCTATTTTAAAATTTAAATTCAAAAATTTAATAGTCGATAATAAAAATTTTAAACCAATAAAAATTTGAGTCAAAACCTTTATATATTAAAAAAAAAAATTGTATTGTGTATTTATTTATATATCAAGTTAGTTCATTTTGATTCGAGCAATGACTCATTTTTAAAAAACGAATTTATAAAGCAAACATGTATCTTGACATGTACAATTATTATATTAGAAATTAAATGATCATTTGGGTTTCCTTTTTTTACTGCGTCCTAATAGAATATCGTTAATAAAAACGCGTCCGACGTCAAGATATACTTCAACTTTATATGAATTCCTTTTTTTTGAACCATATTTTAGTTTATTTCTTACTATAGTAGTTAAGCGTTAATGCTTGAAAAGACGTTTTTCTTTTAATTTCGTGTTTAGCAACGCAGCATGTAAAATTTTACGTTGGTACATTCATGTGATTTAAAATTCATGTGATTTAAATATTTATTGGTTATGGTTACTTTCAAATGGTACAAAGAAAGTAGAATTTCTTATCGTATTTTATTTGCTTTTACACATATAATCGAAAAATATTACGAAAATAAACACAATTGAGTTTACTTATCTAATTAAAAAACTAAGTTGATTCGTATATTAGATTTTTCTCAAAAGTTCTTTAATCTGAATTTTATATGCTTCCCTATTTTAGTTAAAAAAAGAATAAATTAAAGTTATCAAATTAAAATCTGTAATTACGTTTTCTTGAATTTAATGGTTGCAGAATTTTACGGTTGTATTCAAGATCAATTCTACTAATATAATTGTTGATGCTGAGATTTATAGTAACGAAAATAATCTATAGAAATAAATATAAAGTATTTTTTTTTGTTTTCTACTAAATTATTCGTAATTTTTAATTATTATAATAATCACCTTTGAGTACTATTTAAATCACTATCTAAACCATATTCTTATGTAATATATTTTAAAAATTGGAGATATCCAAGTTAATAAAATAATGATAATAATAATAACAAATACTTCAATAAACAGCGAATTAATGAAATATATAATTTACTCATTTTTACCCTAATTTTGTACTACACTTCAAAATTTTTTACACGAATTTTTAGACTGGAATTTCTTTTTCAAATATCCAAGTGTTTTATTAAAAATATTAGATATTTCTTGATAATATCTTTATCAAATTAAGTGCACCATTTTAATATAAAATTACTCTATTATACACATTTAACTTAATTTTTATGCTAGATAGGTACGATATTCATATAGAAAAGCAGTACTAAATTTTTCTTTCTAACTTTAGGGAGTCACCACCTTGAGGAGGTCAAATGACCTGTATGAATAAAATCACATTTGAATTATTTTACGCAGATCGCCTCGAATATGAATTTTATAATTTAATTCAATGTAACGGTTAATTATATTATTAAACTGATCATATGGCATCCATTCAAATATTGTATTTGTGTATGATTGATTTTGATAAATTTAAATTTTTTGTCGATCCTAAAAATTTCTTTACTGCGCTTTATTATTATCAATTTATTTATTTATTTATTTATTTTTATTTTTACTTCATTATCTATTAATCAAATTATCAGATATTTACATTATCATTATTGAACGTATAGTAGATTAGTACGGTGCAACGGCGTTTTCTCCCTATAAGGAGTAAATTTACTTTTTTTACATGGTAAAAAATAAATGATATTCCAAATGTGTCTGTCCTTCTTGATCCCTCCTGTCGATCACACATATTTTGGCGTTACAATGTTTCCATTATAATAGTCAAATATGTACATTTATATAAAATATATAAGTATACTGTATATTTTAATTGGTTTAAAAATTTTTTAATGTACACTCCCCGGTAAAAAGTATCCGACCACCCTAAAAATTAAAAAATCTTAAAAAATTCAGTGGGCCCAACAATAAATTTATATTTATTTTAAAAGTTTGAGACATGAGACACTTTTTAAAAGTGTTTTTTTAGCTTAATTATTAGTAAAAATTCGCGGACATTTTTAATTCTAAAAATGGCAAAATTCTTAACTTTTTAACTAGAGCAGTTACGGCCAAATGAATTCCAGAAATCAATTCTTTGACTAAAAAATAGCTTATGTTTAAAAAATCAGAAAGATTGGACTGGTAGTTGCCGAAAAATCCACCACTGAAGATCATAATTTTTATACTAAAATTTGGCAAAAATGGTGATTTTACCGTTTTTACATATAAAAATTATGATCTTCAGTGGTGGATTTTTCGGCAACTACCAGTCCAATCTTTCTGATTTTTTAAACATAAGCTATTTTTTAGTTAAAGAATTGATTTCTGGAATTCATTTGGCCGTAACTGCTCTAGTTAAAAAGTTAAGAATTTTGCCATTTTTAGAATTAAAAATGTCCGCGAATTTTTACTAATAATTAAGCTAAAAAAACACTTTTAAAAAGTGTCTCATGTCTCAAACTTTTAAAATAAATATAAATTTATTGTTGGGCCTACTGAATTTTTTAAGATTTTTTAATTTTTAGGGTGGTCGGATACTTTTTACCGGGGAGTGTACACTTTAAATACGCGAAACTAGAGAGTAGTTTGTTCACGCATAAATAAAATGTAATTGATAGAATCTTAAGTATACAAATATGCTTGACCTTTGGGTTAATATGTAGGCTGTAAATAAAAGCAGACAAAACAAAATCGTTAAAATTTTATGTGTAGTTTCACCGCTGGAACCCACAGGCGCCCCAAGTAAAACATAAAACGAACATATAAAAAAATTTTTTTTTATAGCAAAAAAATGAATACACGTTTCAAGAACATTTATGATTTTTAGCTCAATTTGGATTATTCTAGAAAAATTTTTATAGTACGATATTTTTTTTGTATACGATGTCATTTTGTACTTATGAATAGTGAAAATTAAATATAAATTATTACATAATTATAACTTTTTTAATGTTTTTATTGATAAAATTATATGAGATATAAAATACAAATCAAAAAAAAATTAAATAATTTAAATTATAACTAACTGATAATCACTAAGGATCCAAAAACCACAAAGGTCTACTTGTGTAATACGCTTCTGGATGTATCTCCGGATGAGTATTTTTGTCAGATAATTGAGAAATTATTATTTGTCTCCTATTTTCAGCAATAGAATATTCATCAAAAATTTCTGAAGGATTTGGATTATCACAAATTAATGTGATCCATTCTCCTAATTTTTCATTCAAGTAAGAAGCGGTTGGACGTTTTCCCGGATCATTGTCCCAACATTGTTGCATTAATTCTGCATAAAATTTTGGTGTATCCTCTGGAATTTCAAGCCTTTCATCATCACAAATGCTTTTTGCTAAATTAATATCATGAGCTCTATTATACCAAGGTCTTTTTCCAGTTGAAAATGTATTCATAATAATACCAAATGAATATATATCAGAAGCAGTACTATAATCTTCACCACGTAAAACTTCCGGCGCAATATATGGTAAAACTCCACATATGCTTTTATTTTCATGGTAATAACATGGACCATGAAGACCCACATCAGCAATACGAGTACCTATCAAAAATTTTTCGTCAACAAGTAAATTTCCTCCATGAAGGTTTCTATGAACTTTTCCTTCAGCATGAATCTTTTCAAGCCCTCTAGCGATTCCCCATAATGTATCGATTATATTAATCCAAGAAAGGATTCCATTGGAACGATCAAGGTATTGATACAAGTTACCGTTTTTGTAGTATTTCATAATAATCATATAATTAGATGTTGGATCTTTCGTAATTCCAAATGTGTCAGCCATTAAATCCGATTGTAAACACTTGTGATATGCTTTAATCTAAAATTAAAAATAAATGCAGAATGAATTATGAATATCGTATAATTTAAGAGGTGTTGTACTTTCTACCAATAGGATTATATTTTGTTTATCATGTGATCAAGAAGCGACTACCACATATAAAAATCTTCGATATTTATATGTTCTTTCATGAAAAAATAAAATAGCAACCGGTAATAGCAACCGGTACCACCGTATTTAACATTAATTACCTGATTAATGAAAGAACTTGAAATCTCCTGTGAATTATCAAGACGTTTCAAAGCAACAGTCATAGGGCCAGCTCGAGCCCACTCTTGCGCACCATCATCCCAAATCCATCTAGGTCCTTCCATCCAAAGTGCTGAATAGGTACTACCAAATCCACCACTGCCAATATATTTTACCATTTCAAATTTATCAAATGGGATCCATTCCAAGTAATCACAAGTTTGAGAGGCATTAAGTTGAGTATGACGGATTAATTCATCTATTTCTTTAATCCCGCTAGTCCAATAAAGAAAGTTTTCCTTCATGGAATTGGTTTCACAATCCTTACACCATCCGAAAGAGATTCTGGGTTTACCACATTCTGGACAGGCTTTAAGTTCTCTTGGGATAAATTTATTTCCTTGACAATAATCTTCTTCCATTGATAAATCGAAAAGCGGACTAAAAGTTGACATATTTAAATATTTATACGTAATAGCGAAATTTTTATCTTTTAATGCTAATATAAAATTAATTACCTTGGAAAAATTTTTTATTAAAAAAAATAAAAAATAACCACCGTAAATTCGCCCATTTTATATACAATTTGAGCTCCTAAAAGAGGAGTATAATTTTTTTTTTTTTTTTTATTTTTTTTTTTTTTAAAAAAAAAAAAAAAAAAAAAAAAAAGAGGGAGATGGCTTATTTATATATTTTTAAAGATGAGCTTTTAAAAAAGAATTAATTTATATCTTTAACGAATGTTACATTTTTATGCGGGTAGGCGCAAAAATATGCTTGACCCGTCACATGTATTAACCCACTGCATGCGTATATTTGCGATACAGGCGTAAAAACTAGTGTTGCAAGGATAATATTGGCTCGGAATACCATAACCGAATTACCGCACGATATAACGTCTGATCAGGTTACAACCAATCAATAATATTAATTTTACTTTCCCACATGTTTAATTTTTATATTTATCACAATTTTCGAATTACTGAGAACAGTTTAAAGAGGAAAATAAAATAAAATAAATGATTTTTTTCAAAAACCCACGAAAACAGTAAATTTTATTGCATTTTTAGATAGAGAAGGTGCGATTATAACCTGAAAATGTTAATTTTAGAGCAGAAAACTTAATTTTTCGGTAAGTTCGCATATAAGCGACTTTTGAGATTTTGTGTAACCTAAAAGTTCTCTATAAGTAAACTTACCTAAGAGTTGGATTTTTCATCCTAAAATCAAGGTTTTCATGTTATAATTGCACCTTCTCCTTCCAAAAATACAATAAAATTTACTGTTTTCGTGGGTTTTTGAAAAAAATCATTTTTTTTATTTTATTTTCCTATTTAAACTGTTTTCAGTAATTCGAAAATTGCGATAAATCATTAGATGTGGATTATTTAGTTAGCCGTTGCGGAACTTTGCCAGGAGAAAGTTAAAAGTTTGAACTTTCGAAGCAGCAACTAAATAATAGAGTTTTTGATATACTAATTGATGAAATGTCCAAGCATGGTCAATAACAAGGTAAATTTAGTATGTACTGTACGTCAATAAAATTTTTTATATCCTCCGTCCAAAGTTTCAGCACTAATGTCTTTAATAAAACCATTTGTCTATATGTCATTTCATCGTGTGAATTACGCAAAAATCTAATGGAGAATTAGATGCTATTCTTTGGGAAAAAATTCAATAAAATTGTTCACCTTTTAGTTAGGTTTCAAAATCGACATCTTGGATCCTGGTTTAAAATTAAATTATTAATCTTTAATATATATTGAATGGGATCACAGAAATCAATGAAGTCATGACCACTATAAGAAAGGTTTTTTTTAGATATAATACTTTGTAACTTGCTAGCTAGCTAAGCGTTTTAAAAATATAATAACGTCATATGTTATTTTTTTACCGCCTATAAATAGAATTACAATGAAAAAATAAGACATCTTAAGATAAGTATTAGAATCATGATATAGGTGCATTTATGTTAAAAATGAATTAAATGAGCAGTGGTAATCCAAAAAAGCGCGATAATTTAATGAGAATTTAAATAATTATGAAGTCTTTGATCTTCAAGTCAATAATATAAAAAATATAAATTGACAGTGAAATCATGAACTTGTCAGGAAAGTCAGTATTTTAAAGAAAAGAAATTTCGACTTGGGACACTTTAGCCTACTATAATAAAATGAAAAATAAAGTGGCGCTAAAAAATAATTGGTCAATTAATATACATAATCATAAGCAAATTAGCTTCATGTCTAGACACGTCAGAAACTTACTTTTATTTCGCTTAAAATCATATCTGCATATAATTGTCCGGAGCGTAGCGAAGGACTATTTATTGTACGGAACTAGATAAATTTGCAGTACCGGTTTAACCCATGTATTTTTCCTTCCTTCCACCTACGTCACTATAATTTAGCCCCTGCTTATTTCCTTTTATGTTTGTATCACATTTTTTGTAACGCTTTATTTTTAGCAACACATTTTGTGTAACCATTTATATATGTATGTAAACGTATTAAGCGACGGACCCTCAACGGTTTCCGTTTTCCTAGTAAATAAAGGATTTAATATATTTAACTGACGACTGCAGAAATACAAACATTACAGTATGTCAGATATTGAATCTTTAAACACTTTATTTTTATATCTGTGTTGCAATTATTTTTATCTAAGAAACATTCAAGTATTTTCAAAAGGAGATTGTTCATTCATCCACTTTTCCTTAAAATACTTTTTTCGTTAATTCGTGATCCGCAAATAAAGTAGAGACTCCTATATCAAAAATCGGGGTAATTATATAATAGCGTAGAATCTGACGTCATGGCAAACCAAAGTACTAATTGTTAAAATATAATATAAAAACTAAGTTTATTGCCATCAAATTATGTTATTTGGCTTACTTTTTATTGAAAGTCCGGTAAATTTTTTGAGCACTATAAATGACTTACTTATAGGCTTAAAGGTAAAAAATGCCTTATTTTTAACGTTGCGAATAATGGATTTTTACTTTTAGGCTCATAGGAAAGTTATTTCTAATTATTGAAAATTTTACCGGACTTCTAGTAAGAAGTTAGCCAAATGGTATAATTTTATGCTAATGGTTTTAGTTTTTACATCATATTTAAAAAATTCGTACTTTAATTTGCCGCGTCTTCAGATTCCGCGCTATTATATATTACTATATATAACTTAACCCCGGTTTTTAATAATTAGATTCTCTACTTTTTACGCGGATCACGAATTAACGTATATTTCCAATTGTCGATTCCTTTCTCCTTGACAAAATGTCTGACAATAAAATCGTACTTAGTTTATATATATATATACCGTATTTGCCCGAAAATAAGCAACAAGTTTTTTGCACATAATGCCGGCCAAGTTTGATAATGTGTGCCAAAATTTGTTATAATGCGGGCCATGTTGCTTATTTTCGGTGATTGCTTATTTTTGGGCAAATACGGTATATATATTTTATAAAAAAAAGGACTATGAAAATCGGCAAAATATCTACGAACCAGATCTTGAAAGTTATTTTCTTTGGATTAATTCTCAAGAGTTAAATAATATAGGATTTAAAACAAGTTTATGATCGAGAAAAAAAAAGTTAATTTATTTATTCAAAATTTATATACATATAAATTATTTTTTAACCTTAAATTCTAGTTTGATTAAATGTAAACGACATTGGAGTGAAAAAAATGGAACGTTTAGTCCTATGGTTTCCTTTAATGAGACCTTGATTAATAAGGATTTCGTCGATTACGACGATAATGAAACAAGATCACAAAGAGCCCGAGCGACTTATCGCCGCAAATGTCCTACTGCCACTACAACTAATACTGCCACCATAACTGCAACTGCACCTTCTACCACACATACCCTAAAAATAGCATCAATAAGGACAAATTAATTATTATTAGCACCTAAGACCCGTCGATTTAAAACTCATGTTTACTGAAAGAATTAATTGATAAAATGTATTATATATAGTACTTTCATTTATTGTTTTAGTATGTAATAAAATTAATACGTGACATGTGTAAAATAACAAGTTAAAAAATTACGTAAAATGAATAAATAGACAAAATTAAAGATCTATGCGTGACGCTAACAAAAAACTTTTTTTGTTTTTTTTTAATTTCTCTCGTACAGGATGTAAATTGTAAAATTTTATATACATATTAGAAAATTAATCATGTGAAAAAAGTGGACTCTTCTCATTATGTTTCATCATAGTTTATTACGAAAGAGAAGATTATTTCCCTAATATAAATTAAACAAGGACACTATTATAAATTCGATTTAAATAAATTGTATAGTGATGTTTTATTGTATATAATTGATACAGAAACCTTTTTATATATATATTTTATGTACAATACTTGTACAATACGGACAATTGAAGATTAAGATAATCTGACACGATTGCGTAACATAGTTTACTTTTTCATGATATAAATACTCGGGGAATTTTTCATGCAAACAATATTAATCACTTGATAAATTAATTCTTTTACTTTTTAAATTATTTTTCGAAGTATCATTATAATCCACCAATCAAGGATGAATTCAGTAAGGTTTTTACAAGTATATATATACCCTCAAAAAATTCTTTCAAACTTCTTTTTAACTTACTTCTTTCTTTTAACTTACGTTCGTTCATTTTTATAGAAATCTCACCGTAATGGAAGCATTATTCAATTGTTTATTTCTAAACACCGATAGTTTAATTCCAATTCCCATTTATAATAATGATAATGGAAGTTTCGTCGAGTTTGGTAAAATAAAATACCCCTTAGAATTACTCCCCGTCGCACTTCATAGGGAATTTCTCGCTGATAGGAAGATGTTAAAAATATTAGAGATATGAAACTTTGGAGAGTTAATGCCAAGGAAGAAGATATAAAAAGTGTTTCTACCGAAGAATACATTGTACAAAAACTTCATGGAGAAGAAATGGAACCTCATAAACCGTTTAAAGACTATTTTAAAGATGAATTAGACAATAAAAAATTTTGTAGTATCTAACATCCACATCATCACCATAATCCCCGCCACTGGTAAGTGTTTTCCAATGTTTTACCTCTCGAACCAGATATTTGCATCGACTGGAACGATGTTACTTCTATCTACGAGTAGATACAACAATTCACATTGGGACGTGGTAAAAACCGAGTATGTCTTTTAGCATTGTTATCTTTCCAATTATGTGTTTCTTGGCTCCTCTGGCTAAAATTGAACTAACATTTCAGCTCGTTAAAACCTTTGGAACTTAAGAAGGCTCCATCGATACCCTCAGGAATGGTAGCATAACGAAAATTGTGATCAAGAAGTGATTTGAATATTGTAATGTGGATGACAAATACTTTCATCCAATCCTCGTCTTAGCTGGTGGAACTGAACTGGAAAGAGTAGATTTCTTGATGAAATCGAAAGTTTGCTTAGGCATTGTATCAATGAATCTGATGAGAAAATACGTAATGATTTTGCAAACTTGGTCGTCATAAGCACCACCTATGAGAATGGAAGCGCTGCTAATATTGAAGATATAAGAATTAGAAAAAAATTGGCGATGAGAAAGTAATTAACGGCCATACATCTCTTGCTCTACGTATTCTGTTTGAGTATTTCCAACCGCAACTCATTGTTGGAAATTTCACTTTTTCCAGTTTTAATACACTTTGCGAACGTTCAAATGTTGCTGACTTACCTTAGATACTGTTGTATATGTTGACTTTATTAAACAAAGGAAACAAGAAACAATTTCTATCCTTTACTGGATCTGGTCCTTGGAATTGACGAGTTAAATCATTTGCACGATTTGCAAAATAAATCCTGTAAGGAATTAATAAAATCCATTGGAGGAATTATGTGTAAACCACCTGCAAACATTTATTTCATTCCTATCCTGGCTGGAACGATTAAAGAACCCATAAAAAATTATACTTCAGGTTCTATGCATGAACCACTTTTCCTTCCACTACGCTTACTTAATGATAGTGATTCAATCAATATTGGTAAGAATATGAAATTGTTTGATGATGACGTGCATCCATATTTTTGAATAAGTATTGCAGATGTCGGCGGACATGTGATAACATTGGAGTATTATTATGATCGTTTTAAAGATCAATTATCAAAAAGGACGGAAGAAATAAAAGGAACAAGAAGCGGAAAAACTAGAAACAGCTCTTTGTAACATGGATATCGGGAAATCATGGCTCATATCAAATTCAGATATGGTCTTGATAATTCACGTTCTTTTTCTGTACCTCTCGCAAAGGCCATATTGGGCCTGCCGGTTAAAAAGATGGATGTGGTTAAAACAGAGGAAAAAAATGATGTGTATAATGAAGAAAAGATCTTTACCTATGAAGATCTTAGTTCTATGGGAGTTGTGTACCTGGTTCCGATAAAGAATAATGACTACCTTATTCGCTTACCCTACTTATGGGCATCTGCAATCATTGATAACTCCAGTGACAAAAGGTTATTGTATTGGAAATCCATGTTATGTTATGATTAGCCGATGAATTGGCAAGATTTTGAGGATTTTAATGCCAGATACTGGGCATTACGCCTCAGTCTTTTTCGTTTACTAGGATATGAGAAAGACTCTATTTAAGGGTGCGCATTTTTCCCATACTTTTCCGAATGTTAAAGTTGCCTTGCCTGATGTTGAAGATATCAAATTGTATAAATTAAATCATCGATATCCAGGTATTATGTTTTGCAGATTTCGTCTAATATAAAGTTGCATCAATCTCAAACTTCAATCTAATGTAATTTAGTCACTCAATCCTACGAGAAAACCCCAGTGAAATATGAAAACATGAAGGAAATAAGAAACGGTTATCTCGACCTTGATTTACTGAAGAATGATAATATCAAGAAATACATTGGTTGTGTCTTTCTTAATGCGGCTGGGAAACTTGGGATATCTTTGGGTTTCTTAATGACGAAAGTCTAGAAATTTGTTGCTTATTTACATATGCAAGTCGAGCACAATTTGCGTCTGGTATGTTTGTAATTGGAATTCCTTCGATCATAATATCTGCTAATGCATTCTCTATTATTTTACATAGCAACGAAAAAGTATATCTCAATCCAGCACCTGTTGAGTCACTTACATTTCTTGGCTTCAATGAGAATGAGAGTGCTAACATATTTCTTAAACGCAGAGAACGTCCTTTTGACAGTGTTGATGATTTGATAGAAGGGCTTAACATTGGCGATGAGAGACTTAAAAAGTTGAAGCTTGATGATAGGGCTTGATGATAGGGTTGATTTTGGTAAATTTAAATATTAAGTTTTTTTTAATGTACGCGTGACGCGTTCTTTATTAATAGAATTTTGATACATCAAAAAGCTCTATCAATTAACGGTCACCCATAAGACCAACCAAATGTGTACATTTAAATAAAATGATAGCTACCAAGCTAACGAATTACAAAATTTAAAAAATGATACTAAGCCTAATATTAAAACCAAAAATAAAATATCAATGAGAATAAAAATAACCCATTTCCATTATTATCATATCATATCGAATAAATTTAAAAATAAAAACAAACTAAATATAAAAATAAAAATGAAAATGAAAATGAAAATGAAAATGAAAATTAGACCAAAATAATTCCTCCAAAAAATTCATCCTTTTAGAGCGCTGGCCGTGTAGTATTAATTAGACTGTAATGGCCAGTCGATTAAAACTCGACGTTGCATGATATGCCCAATGCGGGATCAAATTCAATTTGATGTATGTTGTTAAAGATCTCGCCATTATTGAATACGCGGCCCTTAATCTAGATCGTTCTGTCAATTGGCAGCGTTCGTTCCTGTCGTGACGTAACTACGGCTGATAACCATCTATATTATCATCATCTCTAGATGAACGAGAATGCCGGTTTCTGATCTTTGGCTACTTAAACCACCCCGCTCCCGAGTGTTGTGCTTTGACGTTTGAATAATGTTATGAGCTTTTTCCTAACTGATGATGAGTTCGCACTTGTTCTTCCAAATCAGGTCTTTGAAGAGATGCGCCGATTACGCCGATGTAGCTGATAATTTCAAAGATCTCCTAATTTTATCGACTCCCTTCCCAACAATTTGATGACGGTTCGGTGTATTATGTCCTCAGTGATAGAATTTTTGTTGCGTTTCCACAGCTTCGTCCCGTAGATTGGTGTATATCGTTTTCTATTCTGCGAGGTATTTAGGGCAATGCAGCGATAAATCTTCGGTATCCGATATGGACAGTTGAGTTGGGCGTAAAGGTCTGGCCTTCTCTGTTTCAATATTTTAGCAGTCGGGAGAACCTTGTGTATTATTTTAACAAGATATGCAAAGAACCGATGTAGAGGAGCCGTGAGTAGTGTTATAAAAATGGCAGCAAGTTCCGCTCTTGTTGAAGACGGTCACAGAGATAAACTCGCGCTGGCTGATCTTTTAGTCTCTTTGAAGGTTGATAATCATGTTGGAAAGTTATCCTTAACTCTAAATTTCATCGTTGGTCCCATCTTCCTTCCACTAAGTTTTCTTTAATATGTTCCTCTTCAGAAAATTTCGTTTTGAGTTCAACTTTCTAAAGATTCATTACAGCCAGAACTATTTAAATTCTTTTTCGTAAATTGGATAAGCATTTTGGGATCTATTATGGTAAAGTCACTAATTAACTTTGAAAATATCGTTAAATGTGCCACCTCAATTTAATGACATTTCTAATTTGTATACTACCATTTTATAAAATTTATTTGATATATATATATTGAAGAGGTAAAATTGGTTTAAAGAGAAATTTTGACGAGGTAAAATAAAAGTTTTGGTTTAAAAAGAAATTTTGAAGAGGTAAAATAAAAGTTTTGATTTAAAGGATGAAAGCTTATAAAAAATTTGAGAGCGTGTATAGACCTTTTGAATATATTGTGATTAATAATAATAAGATCTTAGACTCTTGATTGATTGGTGACTTATTATAACGAAATACAAAAAATAACGTAAATATATAATTATTCAGTAAAATTTTTGTGCAAAAAAAAAAGAAATTTTTTCATTTGAATTGATTCTCCGATTTTCGTGTATCGCGTATTTTTACTAATGTGGCTTTTCGTAAGATCAACCTACTTTGTGTGATGTATAATTCAACCCAACCAAGCCACTGTAGCCACTGTATTAAAACATTATGAATAATTTTCTGAGTTACAAGATACAATCTTAATAATATTTTGATATACTGTATTTACTAAACATTCACTCAATAACTGTACATTAGCTAGATATACAATATAATATTTATTATTATAATAATATTAATAAAATATGAAATAAAATTTAATAAATTTTACGAATAATCAATATTCTTTTATCTTAAAACTATTTATCTTAAATGTTTATCTTAAAATCCTTATCTTAAAATAAAGTAAAATAAAAAAAAATATATATATATATATATATACCGAATAATAAGAATTATAAAGAAAAATTGGAAATGAAGTTAAATCTTTCTTTTCATAATGAAAAAAAAAAACTATTGCAATAGAAAAAAAATTTTTACAACTATTAAACCATAGAAAAAAAAACCCTCCTATAATAATTACAAATTTTATGGACCTTGGAAAGAACGACACATAAATCTATCGTAATTATCAGATTCTGATAAAATAGCATCGATGGAAGGTAAAACTAATTGAGAAGAAGAATTATTACTATTATAAGAAGAGTATATTTGTGATGTAGGTGAATTAGATCCACTCGTAGTAGAAATGGTAGAAATTGAAGAAAATCCAGGATGATGATAATTGAATAATTGTGGAACAAATTTTCTTTGTGCATCTTGATAATTAAAAGTATTTGAGGCAAAGAGAAAGTCGTCATCAAAATCATGATTGAGAATAGGTTTGTGAGAGCGCTTTTTTTTAGGTTTGAATACATAACCAGGATAAGTGCGTTCGTGAACTTTTTTCGCTAAATCAGCGATTAATTTATAAATATTCTTAACCTCTTGAGACTCAGAACTCCACCACTTTCCAGCATTACTTGAAACATAAGATAAATTTGAAGAAATTTCAGGACCATAATTTGTAGTTAACTTTGACATAAAGTCCCGACGGTAAATGAGAAAAGAGTTTTGTGGCCTTGGAGGAGTATTTCCTTTACGAGATTTTCTCTTGGGACTTATCAAATATTCTATTGGCATGGTTATTTTTTGTAAGATTTTAGTGTAAGTTAGTGAGTCCATCTCCGATATGACTTCTTCAACTATTTTAGATTCCGGTATCATTGGAGATTGAAATGATGAAGTCTCGTATGGATTCATTTACTGTATATAAAGAAAAGAATAAAGAATATTTTTAAGAGTTTATATACGAATATTGTGGCGACCAATCGATTTAATGTAAGTTATTGGATATTTTTTTATTCGGTATATTATTAATGGAATTTTTTTGCTAATCATCCTCATCCAGTGGTGCTGCTTTTATAATCTTTTGTGAGTATTGTAATAATAATATTTAATAAATACCTAAAATGGAAAAAGTTAAAGTGTAATAAAATATATATATACATATATATATATATATATATTTTAATGATCAGGAATAATACTATATTATAATTATAATTAATGTTAATTAATAAAAAAAAACCCCCCAAATAAAAATGTTATTGTATTGTTTGTTTACTTTATGTTATTTATGTTATTTATATGTTCGCACGTCATTTTAAAAATGTTTATATGTCAATTTTTTTAAATAAGTTTTTTAAGTTTTTAATGTATCACAATCATTTAAGATTTATAAGACATTTTTGCAACGAGGTTTCGTAATAAATGGTATGGTAATAAAAAAAAAAAGTAAAATACTTTATCATAACTTGCATCAATAAAAGATATTTCATCTTCGTCTCTAAATTTTTTTTTTTAAAAAAAAAAAACTTTTTTTTTTTTCTTTTTATTATTTAATATTTTTTGATTTGTAATAATAACAATACATTTTTAATAAATCAATTTATTATAAATATTTATAATAATATCATTTACAAAAACAGAATATAAATAATAATAACTAAAATAATTTGATATTTAAGTGGTCAAAAAATTGGTTATTCATTTCCTTGTTTTTTGTTTTCCTTGTTTAAAAATAATTATTATTGGTTAAACAAACATAGGAGTTACAAAACACTAATCCCTAATTACGTCATTCTTGTAGCACAAATTTGTTAATTTTCTTTTGAGATCTTAATAATCGATATGATTATGATCATCAAAAAAATAATAATCAAGAACAATTAAATATAACAATACAAACTGCAATGATGATTTGACAAGTAAAGACAACCTATAACTGTCAAATTATATATCCCTGATTTCCTGAGTCAACGAAACACATGTAAATGTATTATGAAGGAATTTTCAAAATTTATAGGAAACAATAAATCGTTGTCTTGCGTCTTTGCGTCTTTTGAAATTTAGAATCTTTAATCTATTTAAAGATTGTTTACTGTTTTTTTCCGGTGTAATAAGAATGTCAATCAGAAGATTTGTTCTATTTTTTTTTCAATAATGGGAAAACCAACCGATTTACATTTTATTGTGTTACACTTCAATAACAACGCCTATCTCAGACAAACTTATTTTAATAATGATTTATTAATATTTTTATTCAAAAACAAAAATGTTTGTTTTCGTATACATTACCTTTTTCGTTTAATATCTCAGGTTAGTTAATACTTGTCTTGTTGTCGACTTTTCGATTTAAATTATATTGTGATTTTTTAGCAAATTTAGTAAATGATACTGTTTGTTCGATTTTTATATATTAAGAATTTTTATAACAAAAATCGTTAATCCTAAATACTCTTAAAAAGTACATATTTTTTTTTGTGCATATGAATCATAAGAAAATGATCACCTCGATTATTTTTCATCCTTTTTCAAAATCAACAATTAAGTATAATAATAATAATTATCTATAATTAAATAAATGAATTGTTACAAATTCGATTGTCGATAAGATGACGTATCAATTATTTTTTTGTTTACATTATTCTTATAATTATGGTAATTCCGGTTAATATAATTCTTGTGAGGTACAAATTCCCCTTCATAGCAGAAATTCCTTTTCTTCATAAATCAAACATTGTTTTACAGAAAAGAAAAGTATCCTTTTGTTTTTTTTTTCTTAAATAATGAAAAATAAATTATCTATTGTCTCTATAACAACTTTTTATTCAACGTTCATTAATTTTAATATACAGTATATAATAATCACATGTGATTAGACATGATCTTATAATAACTTTTAATTATCACTATATCGTAATATCACCCTAAAAAATGCGGAAATTCCATGAGATTTTTCTCGATTGAAATCGGACACGGAAATCAGGAATGCGATTTTTCGATCTCACATGATCTGCATATTTTTTTATTAAAATAATCATCTTTACTAAAAAGAGGAAAATCTACAGGTTTTAACCCCTTTAGAAATTTCCCCTTTAGAAATTTCCGTCGGATTAAGCCATCCGATCATGTTGGATTCGATGTGGCGGTCGTTCCCGACGTCCCGTAGTATAATTAGTAAAATGCAATTATCTATTTTTATCCATTTCCGTTACACTTTTGTCAAATTTTTTTTTTAATCGTTACAGAATAAGCGATAAAAATGAAACATAGAACATAATTTGAAAGTATTTTGCGTAGAATGTGTAAAATGCAATTCTCATATATCAATACATAATGTATCATTTCTCTTCTTTTTCCCAAACTTCACTAATATTTAATATATTCATTCTAAACATTTATCCTTCATATCATCATCATCATCTATATCAATTGATGTATAAATTAAATCCTTTTCTTGTGATGTTTTGTGATACATTGTTTTTTCTTTTTTTAAAATTTCTAAAAATCCAACATCAAGATAATATTCTTTAAGTAAAGTTTCGATAATTTGAACGCGATCTTCTAAAGTACCACTTGCAGGCATCTCACTAACTTTTTCGACAAATGGAATTCCTGCGGTTGATACATATTTTTTCGCAACGTTTTTTATTAAACTTTTTCGACATATCATACATGTCATGTAAAGAATAATATACTTTTGCATAAACCCCCTAAAAGAAGTTACACCATAAAAATTAATTAAAATATAATCATATTATTAATATTGTTAATTTGCTTACCATGGTGCTATTCTGGATGTTCCAAATAAGAGTATAAAGACTCCGGATAAAAAAGAGAAAAATCCACCAATTTTAGATATAAATGAACTAACTAAAATTAAAGATAAAAAAAAGATACGTTATGTCTTTATTTTTTTTATTAAAGAAAAAAAAAGAATTAAATTAGATTAATACTTGCTTCTCGGATAAACTTCTTTTTGATATTGAATAGTTGGTGACCTTCGATTTATGCCAAGTTGTATAGTATTTTGAGAAGAACTCAAAGGTAATATGTTCATGTGCGCATTCAAATCAATATAAGATTTACCTAATATTTCTCTCTCAGTAATTATAGGTGAATAATCTATGATCGCAACTTGTCTATTCGCAAGAAAAAAAGAGTTATAAGTAGAATTATAATAAGATTCACCAAATCCAACTCTTTTTAAATAAATTGATAATATTTCAGAGTAAGCACCCGTTGAGTTAAGAATATTTAAAATTGCATTACTATTATTTAAAAGAGTAGGTTGACCAGTCTGTTCTATACTAATATTTAACCATATTAAGCCTACAAAAGGTTGTACAAATTCGTATTTAGCACAAGTTGTCCGAATGTTATCAATGCTATTTTTATAGAAACATCCACCGTAGTTAATGAAATTATATTGATCATCAACAACTAAGAATTGGCAGGATGTAACATTTATAGAGTTTGCATTACAAAATTCTATGGTAATGTTACAATCGTTAATAAAATGATTACTGATATCAACTTTGGGATAAACAGAAATATCTGAAAATTGGTTAATCGTGTACAAAATAATAAAGATAATGAAAGTAAGAGAACATAGTTTTTTGAACAAAATTAAACAAAACGATTCAGTAGGCTTATTTCTTCTAAACATTTTGAAATTTGAATAATATACTTATCTCGTATGTTGTGTATGTCGTGCTTATATATATTATATTAATATGAAATCGGTCTAAGGCTGATCAAATACGTCCCGTGAAATATCAAAAAAAAGAAAAGCCACGGCTTATGAGCGACATAGTAATTATAAACCGGGATACTACGTTCTTTTGAGTTTCACATTTTAGATATGAAAGTCAATAAAATATTAAATTTTTTATTTGTTTTTACGATTATCGGAGAAGCTATTTTTCTTGTTATTTTTACCCATAACTTTATAAATCCAATTGAATTAGTAGTAATTCAATTACTATTTCCATTATGGTCCACACTTCCATTCATTCTTTTAACTGGATTAACCACAGCTTATTATAAAACTATAATTCGTACTATAATATTTCTCATTGTTAATTCGAGTCCAAAGATAATAATAGTTTGTAATATTCTATTTGGAAAATTTGAATATAAAATATATAGAATGATGATAACTGGAGTAATAATTTTAGGAATATTTCAAGTTATCTACTTAATATTATGTATTATATTGTTCAAAATTAAGTCTTGGAAATGGATTTCAGATCCAATAAATCAATTAGATGATAAATTGAAAAAAGTACATAATATTCATCAGTTTGAAAAAGCATTATCTCTAATGACAATTTCATTTCTTGGAATATGGATATTCCTAACGGAAGTAATTGATAGTCTTAGTATTAATTATTATTTTTATAAATTACTTCCTTTAATATATTTTCCGACTACCATTATTTTAATTATTTCTACTTCTATTGTTTTAGTAGCAATAGAAAAAGAATCAGTTTCGTTACTTATTTTATTTTACATAGCAAGTTTTCTTGGATTAGGAATAATTGCACTTAGATTTATCGAAAATTTCCATTTTCCTCTTTATTATGCATTAACTAAAGAGAGAATTATTTTTGGTAATAAATCCTATTCTAATATTTGAAATTTTAATCACTTTTATTACTAGATTTTTGTTTACTAATTATTTTTTTTTTTACTTTAGGTATTCTTGCAGCAATTTCTCTAATAATTTTTAATATTAATACAATCTTATGTCAAAAAAATTTCAACAAAAAATTTTATCTACTGAACTATGAAATAGAAATGCCTAAAGAATTTGATTATGATTATGATCCAAAACAAGATGATGAATCTGAATCATCAAAATCTGAATCAGAAGAAGAAAGCTTGATCATTAAGTGCAAAAAGTATGTAAAGAAAAAATATCATCAATATAAAAATGATATTTCAAATTTTTTGGAATAATTTATCGTAATAAGTATTAGAAGAAAGATATTTGTTAGATTCGGATTGCTAATTTTATTAATATCATAGTAGTTTGGATTACATGAGCCATAATAACATTTAAGTGAAATAAAGTTGTTGGTGAAACGTTCTTTTATATGCTAGCATGTTTGATTATTTTAAGGAGTGGGATAAATATTTGGGATTGAGATTCTCATTTATTTTCGTGCTTTAACAGCTGCTAAAAATAATAATGAACTGATTAAGCTTTTTTTAAATGTTTAATTTCACCGCATAGTAGAGATTATAAATTATATGATCTAGCCTATGCAATTATTTTAAACGTTTCATTAAAAATCCTAAAAGATTTTGCTATTATTTATTTCATGAGGAGTTGGGAATAATAGAGTTTTTTTTCCCGAAGAGAAAAACCCCTAATGTTCCCCTTCCCATGAAATAAATGGGTAATCCTCTGGAGCGTGTCACTCATTAATTATTATCTTAAAACTTAAATTATTTTAAACTAAAATTAGTAATTTCCCGGCTATCTATATGAGGCCGGAAAATAAGTCAACGATCATTTATAAACTCAGCTAATCACTCGCTATTTTTAAAAATTAGTATGAAGTGACACTTAGTGCGATAGAGGATTATTATACTTACAGCTTTTCTTGATTTATTTTGTAAAAGGAATTTTAGGTTATTTAAACTGAAAAATGAAACTTACGGAACAAATTTACTTTAGCATTTGATTTTTTTTAAAGAAATTTTATTAAATAAAAACTTACGAAAATTTATCTTGAAAAATATCATTTCTTGTTTATTAATTAGTACAATTTTTCATATTTTTAAAATATATGTATGTAAAAATGAAATTATAATATTATATATGAAAATATAATAAAATAGGTTGACTTCGTTGTAACATTTATATTTGCATATTATTTAAATTACCTCAGCTTATGCAAATTCGTCATTAGATTCAATACCATCTTTTAAATCAGCAACAAGATATAAGTATAACGATAAAATGAAATGTATTCACGAATATGCAATACCTTGACATTTGGTCGTTTCAACATTAAATTCTAGTCATTTAAGAATTACATCATAATTCTGGCAAAATTTTCAATGTTTCGAGAATAAAATTATAATATAAATTTGTAATTCCGGCCAGCATTGTAAATTTGGCCTGAATTAGTTTAGCATTAAATTTAAATGACAAATGACAAATGACCTGAATGACTAGGTCATTCTAAGGTCATTCAGTGGTCATTTCAAAATAACCAAATGACCTGGTCATTTGCCATCATTACGGCTCAAGGAATAGTCACATTATCTTATTAATCAAATTAAGTAGTGGATAATTATTTACGGCTAATTCATATCATCAGTTGTTTTAGTATTAAGATACTTTAGACCTTAAGAATTAAGTGTCCAATGTCTTAAAGTTAGATTGACGATACATTGCTTCCAATTGCTGCTTAATGCTCACAAACGGAAATAATAATTCAAGTTTGATTGAAATCTGATTGTTTATTAATATCTTTTACAAGGTGTTAACACAACTTTAATCTTCGAGTTGTCGAATTAGGAAATTTGACGTAATGCGACTTTTCGATTTCCATATTTTTTGTTTGTTTTATTAAAATCACCATCTTGAGGAATCAAACCCTTTAAAATTTCTGTCTATTGTATAATCTATACTTGTCCAAATACGGAATTGATTGCGATGGTTTAAGCCACCTAATCATGTTAGACTTGATGTGGCGGTCGTTCTCGACGTCCCGTAATACTAGCCCTGTTCATTTCTAGATCGTATCGGATTGACCAAAAAAAATGTATAACCAATGATCGGATTGGTTATATATCCATAATAGCTTGCTTATAGGGCAAAAAACACGTTGATGTGTTGTTATTATGTTTAATTATCAGACAAATTTTGTAGATCGGCTTGACTGACCGCTGAGGCGCTAACCGCATCAGCAACCAATTATTTAAGGGTACAAATTTGCGATCAATCCGGTCAGATCACAGGGCTACTGCATAATTAGAAATCAACAAATTGCATTATCATTCTATTTTATCTATTTCCGTTACACTTTTGTCAAATTTTTTAGTCGTTGCAGAATGAGCGATAAAAATGAAAAAAATAGATCATAATTCGAAAACATTGTACGTTAGAATGTGTAAAATGCAATCCTCATATATCAATCAGTACATAGTTTTAATAATATACTGTATCATTACACTTTTATGTTATTCTTAACTTCACTAATATTTGATATACTGTATTCATTCTATACATTATCAATTGATATATAAATTAAATCCTTTTCTTGTGATGCTTTCATTGCTTTGTGAAACATTGTTTTTTTCTTTTTTTAAAATTTCTAAAAATTCAACATCGAGATAATATTCTTTAAGCAAAGTTTCGATAATTTGAACGCGATCTTCTAAATTACCACTTGCAGGCATCTCACTAACTTTTTCGACAAATGGAATTCCTGCAGTTGATACATATTTTTTCGCAGCGTTTTTTATTAAACTTCTTCGACATGTCATTGTCATACATGTTATGTAAGGAATAATATACTTTTGCATAAGTTCCCTAAAGAAGTATATAAATTAAAATATTATTCTTATTATTATTTACTTACCATGGTGCTATTCTGGATGCTCTAAATAAAGAGTATAAAGACCCCGGAGAAAAAAAACAATTTAGATATAATTGAACCAACAAAAAATTTAAGATAAAAAATTACGTTATATCTTTATTTTTTTTCATTATCTCCGTTTTCAAAATGGTGTGCGCAGTTTATTTGTGATTGTATATTCGAATACTAATATTCGTTCGGTTTTCTGTCCATATTTTGTCCGAGTTTCGTCCGGGTTTCGGTTTTCTTTTTAACTGCGTAGTGCGTACATCATTTGAAAACGGCGATAAAGAAAAAAAAAGAATCAAATTAGATTAACACTTGCTCCCGGGATGAAATTGAATAGTTGGTGACCTTAGTCTTATGCCAAGTTGTATAGTATTCTGAGAAGAACTCAAAGGCAATATGTTCATGCGTGCATCCAAATCAATATAAGAATACTTTTCTGCGCGACTTTCAAGGCCAAATAAATATGAACCAATTATATCTCTTTTAATCATAGGTGAATAATCTATGATCGCAACTTGTCAATTCGCAAGAAATAAAGAATTATAAGTAGAATTATAATAGGTTCCATCAAATCCAATCCTACTTAAATAAATTGATAATATTCCAGAGTATTAATCTGTTGAGTTAATAATATTTAAAATTGCATTATTACGGTATTATAGGTTGGCCAGTTTGTTCTATACTAATATTTAACCACATTAACTCTAATAAATCATGTACAAACTCGTATTTAGCACAAGTCATCTGAAAGTAATCGGTATAGGCATAGCTGCATTCGTTAGCGGGAAAGAACTCCCACTTCAAAGGAATGTTACGAAATTTTCTGCCAAGTAGGTGTGGAATGATTTTTTTTACGGCTAGCTCTTATTTAGTATTCTCAAATTGCCAAGATACTTTAAACCTTACGATGGGTAGATCTTAAATATTGGATCATTGCTTGCGGTTGCAGGCACTTGCAGCAGCAGATTCTAATATTAAATATTAATGAATTACCTATATTTAAATAACTGAACGAGATAATTTAATTTTTTTAAAAAAAATCCATTAAATCCATTATCCATATTTCATATCTTTACCCTTCGTTTTTCATATTTCGGCTATACATTCAGAACCAATCACGCTGGGCTTTTTCATAATAATCTTTAATACAGTATTAAACAGGGTGTTTAGTTTTTACACAGAAAAAATTGAATGTTATATTCGAAGATTCATTCCCATAATGAAATATATCGATCTTCTATTGACAGCAATCCATAGACACGTGCTTTGCGCAGTAAAGCGAGTTAAAAATTGCATTGTCGCACGAAATGTATGAAGCGAATCCACAATATTTTGCATAAATAGTCCACAAAAAAAGTTGTCTTCCTTCATTTTATTCATTTTATTCATTTTATTATATTAAATACTTTATTTTATTAATAATAAATAATGACAATATTGACATTCCTTGGTTGTGCTTTAACGGGTATAAAAAAATATATTTTTATATATTAAATTTAACTTCTACGCTAGTCAAAAAATTGAGAAAAAAAAATCATTTATTGTATTTATATAGCATTTGGTCCTTCGCTCGCTTTATTCTTTTTAACAGTTGCAAAAGATGCACAACTTGTTATTTTAATGATATCTAGGTAAGTAAATAAATAAAACTTTTTTGATAATAAAATAAATATATATATTGTTTATTATTTTCACGGAAAATAATTTCATTTCTTTTTTTTAGTGCATTCTTTTGGTTAATATCGATATTATTAGCTTCTTCGATTTGGTTTATTTCTAAATCAGATGCAACAGAAAATCCGATTACAATATTATATAGCGTTTTATTACAAGAATTATTTCGTTGGTTTTTTTATAAAATAATAAGGTAAATTTTTTATAAATTTATTTTCAATAATTTATTTATTATTTTTTTTTATTTAAATTAAATAAATAATTTATTATACAGTCGAGCTGAAAATGGGCTTATACTCGCATCTGCTAATCCAACATCACCGTATAATATACCTACTTTTGCTTTCGGTAAAGATTAATATTTGATATAGTTGATTTCTCTTTTTTTTTTAAGAAAAAAAAACTTCTTTTATTAATTTATCCTTTATTCGTTCATCATAATGAAATGTTTAGTAAGTGGATTGGGATTTGGATTTGTGAACGGATTGGTTATGTATATTAATCCTTTAATTATTTCGATTGGACCTGGAGTAATAATGTGCAAGTCATGTCCTACTTTAACATTATTTTTTACCGGAGGTAAAGTAATTTTAAATTAAAATCTTTCTCTTTTTTTTACATTTTTCGCATATTAAATATTTTATTCATTACTTTTTTTTCCTTTTTCAATGTTATCATTAATGCTTTTAGCAATCACAACATGTTTATCCATATTATTACATACAACGTGGATGATTCTTGCTTTTGAAGGATATAGATACCCAAAAAGAAATTATTATTATATTATTTGGGTATTATTAAGTCATTTAGGATCTTCTTACGCTGTAAGTAATTTTTAATAATATTATAAATGTCCTTTCTAACCAATTTTACTTATTAACTAACTGTTTTCTTTATATATATATATATATATGTATATTTTTGAAAAAAAAAAATTTTTTATAATAGACAATGTTTAGTCAATCAGATATAAAATCCGGTTGTGTAATTGGGTTTTCAATTAATATAGTATTATTGATTATTTCCATCGTAGCTTCAGTGAGGACATTGAAAAAAAAAAATCTATAAATAATTTATTTTATAATTCGATCATAATTGCAACATAGAATAATTAAATAGAAAATAATCATAATAAATTATTTAGTTTAATTATTAGAATTATCAAAGAAAAAAAAAATTCAATATTTAATATATTATGATGAAAACATTAAATTATAAAATTGATGGGGGAAAAAAATAATATATGTAATTATAATAATTTTTCATTCCCAAATTCCACTTCCACTCCAATTTAATTTTCCTTTCATTCCTCTGTTGTTATTAACCGTATTCTCTACAATTTTAACACCGTTACGATCTAAATTTTGCAAGATAGGATTATAAATATGTGGTAAAGTTGGCGCTAAAATACCCGTATCTCTAATTTCTCCTATAAAAATACAAATTTAAACAAATATTAGTATTTTTGATTAAAAAAGTGATTTAAATCAAAAAAAGGATTTATGATTATATTTATGTAATTACCTCTTACAATCATTTCAGTTGCTATAGCTGCTGGTAATCCAACAAGTTGCGCCATTGCCGTGTATGTATCTAAAGATCCAAGACTTACTAGCGTAGATGTTTTGGTTCGCTAATTAAAATATAAAAAAATATCTATAATTAATATTTAAAGATGATAGATATTCTTTAAATAACAATTTTTTAAATCACCTCTTCTCCATTTTTCAATTTAATTCCGAAATCATGATGTAATACTAATAAATCTCTTTCTCCTGGCTTATATTGTAACTTTTGTTGTAATAATGAACAAAATGTATCAAGTGATGTTGAAGTGTTTGCTGTAGATGGTATCAATGATGATGATAATGATGTATTTGAATCAGGAATTAAAGATAACCTATAAAAGAAATTAAATTTATTTTTTTTGATTTATTTTTTTTGAAATTTAAAATATTCTATTATATAAATTATTATTTAAATACCATTTCAAAGCATCTACAACTTTTTCAACCATTTGATGATTTTTTGATAAATTTAATTTTTCAGCAATTGCTGATATCCTTGAAGCTTCAGTAGGTTCGTTATTATATGATCCGAAAAGTTTATGATCGAGAAAATCTGACTACAGTATTTTTTTTTTTTTAAAAAAAAAAAACATTTGTTAATTTAAATATATATACATATATATATATATATATGATATTAATTAATAAATTAAATATACCCATGTAAAATATTTAACTTCTTCAGTATTAGTATCTAAAAACCCAAGTTTATAAAATGAATACATAAGATCAGAATATCCCTACAAAAAGATATTAAGTTGTTATAATTCATAATATTAAAATATTTTAAAAAAGAACTTATTATTTATATACCTTGTATCTTAATGTTCCTCTAAACATTGCACTTTTTGTTTCTAAAGGAGCCAATCCATAAGTATTAATATATGACAAGGAATCTCTATTCGCAAATCCTTCAAACACAAGTCCAGGATAAATAGTTACTGTTGGAAAATGAGATTTTAACAATGCTCCTCCTGGAATTTCTTGATGCTATATTATAAAAACATAAAAAAGAAAATATATAAACGCTATAATTAAAGAATCGAAAAAGAATAAAAGAATTAACCTTATAATTAACTCATACTTTTCCATTCATCCAGAAACTTGCATCATTTAATGTTGCTGTAAGGGTACCTCTTGGTGACCAACTAAATTTATATCCAAGTGGGACGTCTGAATCTTCTGGAGCCGGTAATCCTCCACACCATGAAATAAATGACGTTACCTATTTAAATAAGAAGAAATTAGTTTTAAATACTGCTATATTTGCAAATTTCTATTAATAATATCTTACCTCTCCACCTTCAGCTTTAACTTCGTCAATAATCTTCATGGCAGATAAATGATCGATTCCAGGATCAACTCCTATCTCGTTAAGAATTGTAATCCCAGCTTGTTTCGCTCTAAAAAAGAATGTTACATTTAAATTATAAAATCAATATATGCATCTGATTTATTCGATTTACTCCTACATCACGCAGAAGAATCATATTGTCTGGATTTTCAAAAAAATTTTATTTTTACCGTTCATCTAGTGCTTTCATTTCAGATGAAATATAACTAGCTGTGACCATATTTTTCCTATGTGTAATACACATCTCTGCAACAATTGGATGTAAAGGTGCTGGTAGAAGGCTAAAAAGAATATAATGCGTTGTAAATTAAATAATTTAATACAATATAAAAGATAAATATATTACTAGATAATAATTCACTGTAATATGATTACTTTATCTTAAATAAACTTTACCTAACGACGACATCAGCTCCTTGAACCAATTTTGATAACTCTTCCTTTTTGTTCACATCTAAATCGACAGTTTGAATATTTTGATTTCCACGCGTTAGAGCAATAGCTTCAGCTCGCATATTGCTAGCTAATTAAATAATATAACGAGTTAGAATCACAAAGCACAAAAAGTTTTATTATCATAATTCTTGTAACTTTATTAACAATACGGGCTGCTAAAGTAAAACTTTATTATTTTATATAACTATTGGACTATTTATAACAACTACGCTAATTTTCCTTCTTTTCTAAAGTAGAGAATTAAGTACATTAAGAACAAAAAGAAAATTAATATAAAAACATAGCACGTGACTTACCAATTATCAATGATAAATCCTCCTGTTTGCTCAAATAATCCACTAAAGGTTTAGCTACAAATCCACTTCCTAGTAATAAAATCTTCTTATTGTCTTTTCGAGACTCTAAAGATGAAATTGAATTGTTGCTCTTTGGCAATAAATTATATAAATCTGTGTGTGAATCTGTTAATTTTCCATCTTTTGCGATAGTTGCTCTTGAAAGTACAGAATTTTGATCAATCTTTCCATTAATCTAAATCGAATAGGAGTGAATAAGGATTAATTAATTAGTTCATGTTTAATTACGATCAACTTGGTATTATTATTTACTAACCAAATCATTCATAAATGGATAAAGAGATTTGCTGAAATGTTTGCTGCTTTCAAGTGGAATTTCTGTAGGGAGAATGTCAACTGCCATTATTTGCGTTCCTCTTCCTTCATCACTATATAAAAAAGTTAGGAAAAATTGTTAAATTCAAATCCAAGTGACGCAGTTCTATATTTTAAATTACATACTTTTTATGTTCTTTGTTATTAACAGCATCCACATAATAGAATGGATCATCAATTGTGGTTGAATGAGAAAGACATTCCAACGCGCCCTAAAAGTAAAATTAATTAAAAATTTTTGCAAAATTACTATATTTTACTGTACGACAATTATATTCTTACATTTATATCACAGCTTATGTCAGAAATAGCTAATAATCTATTTTTGTTGCTTGGATCCGCCTGAATAGCTCTCAAATGTTCGTTAGTTAATAACCTCGGATATCGTGTATCCCAATAAGATCCATGTATGAGCATCGTAGTATATGGAGCAATCTATTATGATAAACTTTAGAATTTTTTTTTTCCACATATATATACATTTATTTATTTATTTATTTACCTTTGTGTGAAATTCACATTCGTATTCGTTGGGATTAGCATAATAATCACTTTTAGATATAAAATATCCCAAATTCTTATGAACAAGATAATCTTGAAGTTTAACTTGACAACCATAAATTTTCTTGTTGTTATAATTATCTGTTAAAATATTGAAAAAGTATAAGTATTATAGCATAAATAAACCAATATTAACTCTATTAACTCGAATTATTAATTGTTACTTACGCGGTGTTGAAGTGCATTCTTTTAAATCCTTAGCATCTATGTACTCATGTGGCAAGTGTTTGAATATCTCTTGAGCCCCCTTCAAAATTCATATATCTTTTCATTAGCTTTAGAAATTAAATTTATTAAGGAAAAAAAATGCTTTTCTTACATTAGAAACATTCCCAGTTCCTGTAAACACAAAAGTCATCGGACCTAAATCTTTAGGTAATCCTTCAGTAGCAATTGATTCGCCCACGCTTTTGACTGACGATAAAGCAGAATCGAGAGATTTATACGAATGTGACATTGCAATGTGCTGTTTAGTGATTAAAAATACTGTTAATCGACAACAATAAGTAGAAAAAGGAATATTAATTTATCAAAATACCATGAATGACGTATTATAACCCAATCCCAAAAGTCTTAATCCCAATCCATGAAGTCCGTCAATCATTCCTACGAAAAAAAAAACCTAATATAAATACAATTGTAGTAAAAAAAAAAGTTTGTGCTTAAATATTTATCCTTACCTGCGTAACCAGCGTGAGTTCCGAATAATACCAGACGTTTTTTCTCCTCGTTTGTCATCAATTCATAATCAATCAGTCGTATTTTCTAAAAAAAAAGTGTGGCGCAATAAAAGTTAAATACACAATTTTTTGCATATAAAAATTCGAATAAAAAATATTTAACCTTGTCGAGAATATCTTGCAACATTTTCATATTATAACTTTGTCCCTTATGTGTGTGAGAGAAGAATATATGCGTCTTATTCGGGATTAAATTTTTAGTTGGAACTTCCTTGATCCCCATTATTACATCTGCAATCGAAATGTCTTCCTGAACTACTGCGCCAGCCTAAAAATCGAAAGAATTAATTAAATTTTCCATTCAAAGTGATATTTCCACGGTCACATGATATGTTCTCACGGTGGTTCTATTGCAAGTACCCGTTAAATATTTAATACGTACTTGTTCATATTTTTCATTGCTGAATACACGTTTATTGCATGGTTGCACGTATACTTTTACACCTGTTTCTTTGATCAATTTTGAAACATCATCAGGCGTCAATGCAACTCTGCGTTCCCATCGACTTTTGTCCTCACGACGTAACGCAAGTGTATTTAATCTTCTAATAACAGTTTGATTTAAGTAACGAGAATTTGAATGGTATAAAGCAGGGATACGATTCATTTTAACGGTCCGATTTATTTCAAAATTATGATCTTTCTTGTATTTCTTGTATAGACCCCAGTCGAAGGTCTTTTTTATAATTTTGAAGCTTACACAAATCGGTCACGCAATTACCAAATTGCAGATCAATATTTGTTTTAAGGGGCGTGAGAACTGAAAAATGATGTATGGATGCGTGAGAAAAAAGTGACGCAAAAAGTCCACAATGAACTTAAAAAAACAATATTTAAGAAACGAAAAAAAGAAGTATCAATGAAAGAATGATTATTTTTTTCTTTTTTAGTTCCAAGTTAAAGAACCTTTTAATATTATTTCAAAATTTAAGTTATCCAATAAATAATAAATAGCTTTTTCTTGTGAAACAACAAATCAAATTTGGTTAATTTTCAATCCCTTTTGTTTTTTTTATAATTTAAATTTTAAATTGATTACGTATACATATTTTGTACTTCATACCTTCTATGGAATGCCTCTTTGTAATGATTTCTTATTGGGGACCATAAAGCTTTCGAAATATTTCTCCTTTCGGTGTTACGTTACCGATCTATTAAGAATAGAAATATATTATCATTGTCTGGATCGGGTTAGATTAATTGTCACTATTTTGTTTCAAAGAGTAAATGAACATACAAAGATTATCAATTTTAAAGTCAAACTCCGATATAACGATAGATATATTGAAATTAAAAAATTGTCATGTCAAAATTTATACCGGTACTTATATGTTGTTATATTCTCTCATATAGTGGAAAATCGTAATATCAAGTATACAGAGAAACTATCGACTACACCAAAAATTTCTAACTATAAACCTTCCGCTTCTTTGTGGCTTTTTTATTGTTTCAATTTCCACGCAGAATGAGTTGCACGAATTTCAGTTGCTAATTTGTCACATGAGCAAAAGTATGGTATTGTACGACCACAGTCATTTGACTTGTACAGTACTTACCCAAACAGCTAACGGCCTACCTAAATATTTGCGTCACATGATTAAATTATTATGTTCCACCATCGATTATAAATCAATCAGCAAAAATTTTTTTTCGTAAAACTTCGCTTTATAGTTTATATTTATTTATATATATATATATTTTTTTTTTTTTTGCAATGAGCTTACGATCATTAACACGTCTAGTAAGTTTAATAAATGTATAATAATTAAATACACTATAATTAGAATAAATTTATTCTTTTTTTATTTATATATATATATTTTCTCGTTGTACTACAGGTTATAATTCTTTTTTTTCTTTATTTTTTCTTGTCTGTTATACCATAGTCTATTCTAGGTAGACCATTTACTTTTAACACATTACTTACATCATCATTTATAAAGAATGCAAATAATGAAATAAAAAGTCCATTGGTTTCTTCGATATTATGCAGATATCTTTCAGATTCTTTGAAGAAATCATTAGATGAAGTAATTTTAATTATTAATTGATTCTAACAAAGTTTCGAAAAATATTTTAATTTTCAATACTAATTATTTTTTCTTTAATTTATTTTTAACAGTCTGTACAAAAAAATGATGTTGTTTTATTTATGAAGGGTACACCTAATCGCCCAGAGGTAAAAAAATATTTAAAATATTTTTTCTCTCTTTTTTTTTTCTAATATATATTTTCAGAGAATTCATTTAATAATTGATTAATATATATGTAGTGCGGATTTAGTAGAGCTGTTGTTCAAATTTTAACCGCGCAAGGTAATACATTACTCTATTCTTTGATAAATTTTATTTCGACTTTATTTTATTATTATTAATCTGATAATTATTGAATTTAGGTTTGGATTTCTCAAAAATCAAGACATACAATGTTTTAGCGGATAATGAATTAAGAGAAGGCGTTAAGGAATATTCGTATGTACAATAAATTATCAATGACTATTCATGATCGAATTTTTAATTTATGACTTTTGCGTTCCTTTTTTTTTTTAGACAATGGCCAACAGTCCCTCAAGTGTATATTAAAGGAGAATTTATTGGTGGTTGTGATATTGTACTTAATATGCATCATAATGGAGAATTAGAAGACTTATTATTGAAAGAAGGCTTGGTTGATCCTAAAAATGAATTAGAACAGGAGGAAAAATAAAATTATGAGATTTAAAAAAAGATGACTCTTGATGTTACAGGCATTTATAGGTTTTATAAATTTATCGAGTCAAAATGTATTCGTTAATAAATTTATATTAATAAAATAGTTATAATAAAAAAACATTACAATTAAGAATTATCTATATATTCAAATCTATAAGTATATATTAATATAGAGTAAATATACATTATCGTGTGTTAAATTATCATCATTCAAATCATACATTAAAAAAGATTTTTTTATTTTATCTCTTTTCATGTGATAATACGCGAGAATTAGAATTAGATTTACGAAGTTTACCAATGATCTGATATACTTCATAATCAACGACTTGAAAAAAATTTCTAAATGATTAGGGTTAGAATTATGAATTGATTTCCAATATATAGAACGTTTTCCATCAGGAAAAGCTGATAAATCATCATCACCAAAACAAGGACCATAACCAGATTTTTTATGTATAGCGAATCTAAGAATCTAACTAACCTATTAAAATCTGCTTTTTCATCATCAAAATTGAAGACAAAACAATCATTAGTAGTACGATCAAATTTCCAATCTAAAGGATTATACCCTCCAAATATTGCATTAGAATTTTTTATCTTAAATACTACTATAGTTTTTTGAATTTTACCACAAATTTGATGAAATAAATCTAGAGATCATCAAGTCGACCACGTAAAATTAATTTAAATTCGTAAGGAATTTCCGTTGGTCTATAAATCACATCATCCTTTCTATCAATCCAACTTGTAAGTAAAGTAGCATGACAAATATTAAGAATCGTATCATTAAATTGAATTGAAATAGGTGAATTGATTACGGTAGAAGTTCCACATGCTTTTTTTAATTGATGCTTTAATGCTACATCAAACTTTTCTTCAGATAAGAATGGTTCACAAGGAATTAATAAATCATGAAATTCATTCCAATTCATTGACATTATACCATTCCAAGGGATACATTGATTCAAAGTATATTTAAATTCTTGCCAATCTTTTTTATTCCAACTTGAAACTTGATTTCCTAATTTAGGTATTTGAAATCTTGCCCAATTAACAATAAAATTTTATAATGATTCACTTAATTTAATATAATCATAATTATCTAATGAAATTAAAATATTAGGAGAAAAATCATTTGTTTCAAAAATTAATAAAGGATTATTTGAAATTTTTGAAATATAATGAATTTTAAGTTAAGTTTTTTTAAAGATTCATAATTAAAAATTTTTTCATGAATAAAATTTTGATCCATCCAATCAATTTGTTGTTGAATCAAATTTTCTTGAATATATTCTAAAAGTTCAGTTAATTTTAATTCTTCTGCTGCAAAAAGGAGATCAAAAGATTGATTTCCATTACAATTTAATAGATCAATTTTCCCACTATAAATATATCTATAAAAAAAAATAAATAAATAAAGTGATAAGTATGAATTTTTAACGTCACGTTCAATAAGAATAAGTATCATGCAAGAATTTAATTAAACACTTACTTTAGAATTATTTCAAATGTCGAAGGAGAAATATTTTCATTACTAAGAATAATTTTGTCATTTAGCAATCGGAACTACAGATCTTGAAGGTTATAAGGTTGCATTTGAAGGTCGATGATTGGAGAAGGAAATAGAACGTTCTTTGCTTTTCTATCATTAGACCTAGGTTTTTAAGAGGGACGATTAGTATGGTTTTAACTTTATTACCAGATAAGTTCTCTTTGAACCAAGGTGATCTTGATCGAAGAATAAGTGAATGTGCCGGAAATTCTTTCATATTTTCTTCTTGACCTACGCGAATGATTACATCATAATAAGCTGAAGTATCGAATAATTGAACCAAGTCACGAGATAATTTGGTAAGTAGATGAAAAGTCATTTCTATTTTTTTATTTTAATTTGAATTTTTTCCAAATCTACGGGAGAAAAAAATAAAGAGATCGTATACCAAGGAATTAATTACTCTATATATATCATTAACATGTGCAAGTTGCAAGTATCCAAAATTTTTGTGTTATGAGTATTTATGCAGGAATGATTATGCAATATGATGGGACGGTCCCTATTGCATGTGTTTTAACGTTCATGCTTTCCTGCTTTTTCACAAAATATTACTCGAAGGGCACGATGCTAATCCGTTGTGTTACTGCGATCTGATTATTGTAATTGTGAGAATATTATGAGCAAAAAAAAAAAGATTATTTATTAGAAATATCCGATCTCCCGATTTATCAACTATTTTAATAACAGATTAAATTTGTCTTAATGCTAGCAACATTATAACGTACTTTATTTATACATAAACATTTAGCCTTAACAGTAAATAACGCTGCATATTAAATAAGTAAATATTGTATATCTTTTATAGTACTAGTAGATGGTACTAGTAGACGATTATGGTATTGTATACTAATCCGTGATAAAATAATGTTTCTTTAAATATTATTATTTTGTAAAAATTCGGGCGATGATATATTTATTAGATAAACAATAAAATAATGAAAAGAAATAACCTACAGTAATTGCCATTGTAGAAATCTGGTACCCTAATATCCTAACAAGAACTTATGAATCTCTCTAAAGTCTTGAAAACTTCAGCTATAGACTTAATTAATAAAATCAATAATTTATACATGTCTGATTACTCTGATATAATGATGCATTTTATAAATAATAAATATATACGGATAAATGACACAATATCAATATTTATATTATTTCCAGTCTGAACGAAAGATCAATTATAGTCATAACTGATTTCCATCTGACAGTCTCTTATGAAATGGCCGCGATTACCACAATTGTAGCACCTCTCGCACTCACTATAATGATGACCGGGTCTTTGGCATTTGTAACAATTTGTACAATTTTCAGGACTATGTCTATGACTTCCTCCACATTTGTAACACTTATCACATTCATTACTAAAATGATCGTATTCACCACATATGTCACATTTACATTCATTTATAACATGACCAAATCTACCGCAGCCAAAACATCTATGTCTCAATTGATATCTAATATTATCAAATTCGTCATCCGACAAAGACGGCCGAGAGTAAGTACTACCTCTTACATTTCTTATTCTATATCGTTTCATATATTCAAGAGTTTTCGCCAATTCTAAATCATTATTAGTTGTTCTTTTTTCCCATATAAGTTCTTCATATGGATGAATTCTCGTCCACTTTGTATTTCCATTTTCATGCTGACCAATCCTTATATCGAGATCCATAGTTCGACCGACATAATATTTATTATCACGACATTTTAATACATAAACGATAAACATTCTTAAAGATTTTTGCAAAGTAGAATCGGTTATTTTAAACTGTATATGAGGCAAAAATAGTTTAATAAAACATTGAGCAGCCTTATTTATATAAAAATATTGTTATGAACTTGAAATAGATAATAAAATTAGCACATGAGTATACACAGCCAAATTAGAAATGGTCATATCAATGTGTTGTGTTGCACATTACGTAAAGTGTTGCTAAAAATATATTATTTTGGAAAAGGTATCTTCAACATATCAAAGGAAAATAATATTCGGAACGCGGATATGGTCACACAGATCATTTACGTTGCAATGTTTGACTGATGTTTTCCTTCTATAATAATTCATTCTAACTATTCATATTATTAATTTATTCCTGATCTTGTGATCGACAAAATATTTATCCTTCGGCCCAAAATTATTTATGCAAAAATTTATTACATGATATTAAAATTTGTAATTCGACTAATCTGAAACGTGACTCTTTCTGAAAAGTTTCGTTATAAAATAATTGATTTGTAAAATTTTAATGAAGGGAAAAGGAGGAATGTCCTTATAAATTTATTCCTTGTCAGTTGTCATTTGCACTCCGCCTAGAAGTTACATCAACTTAAACGAAGAACAAGACTATTCTTAGAAATATATGTACCATATATCGCTGCTGCATACAGTACCGGTTCTTAAGAAAATTAGGTTAATACGAAAAAATACTAGAAAGATTTTATATATGGAATTTTTTTTTTTTTGATTTATAAACCTTTAAAATATGCAGATTTTTAGACCTACTTACTATTGGTGGTGGATACTGGTACTCTCAAGGGAGAATATTTGTGCAGTGCTTAAGGGAGATACAGAGATACTATTGCAAGGGTACTCAGTACTATATGCGGTGCGACGCTGTACGCGTGACGTTCCGATTTACTAATTATGTTGTATGGAAAGGGTACCTGCGGGTCAACCCTGTAATTAACGTTAACGGGTTGAACCGTTGAACCGTCAGTACAAGGGTAACCGCCGCAATAATAGCAGACGTCTACCCGAGTACCCGTTGTAAAGTATGGCGGACTTTTGACAAAAGCGGCTTGCCATATTGTCGCTTAGTATAAACAAAATTTTCTTTCTGTTAACAATTAACAATTATAAAAATATATATTTCTCTATTCCCAAATAAAAGCGAAACATAGAAACTTTAATATATTTAACGAATAATGACAGTACAGTACATTGTTTTTGACGCGTCGGATCGATATATAAATAATACAACAAAATGATAAAATAATATGTGCAATCATAATGTGATAATAAATATAAATGTTAAATATAAATAAATAATGAGTAAGTTAGGAAATGAAATACAATGATTACAAAAGTTTCAAATAAACTATTATGCATTCAAAGCTTCAGCTACGGACTATACTATCTGATTAATTTACCGTGCATTATGATGGATAAATACAAAACCTTTTTTCTTGTTCAGTCACTTTATCATTTCACTTGTATTTCTCTTACTACTATTCCATATGATCCCTAGTCAGTACGAAAGATGAATTTTTTTTAGATACAAAGAACTTCGTTATGATATCCACAATTCTACATATAACACTCTCTAGCGAAATGGCCGCTTCCACCACATTTGTAACAATTATTACAATTCCAATAATAATGATAAGGACTTTTACATTTGTAACATTTATTACAACTTTCAAAATTATGATCAGGTCCTCCCCCGCATTTATAACAATTGAGACATTGATAACTCAAATGACCGTATTCACCACAAATGTCACATCTACAATTATTGCTAGAATGACCAAATCTACCGCAGCGAGAACATTTATTATTAAAATTAAGATAAACTTCCAACCTTTCCTTAAATGATAAATCAGGCCGGGAGTAAATACTACCTCTTACATTATCAATACCAAGAAGATGCATAAACTCAAGAGTTTTCGACAATTCTAAATCTTCATTATTTGTCCTCTTCTGCCACAGAAGGCCCATATAAGGATATTTTCTTGTCCACATTGTACCTATACTCTTATGTTGATTAATTCTTATACCGAGGTCCATAGTACGACCAACGTAATATTTACCATGGGAACATCTTAATACATAAACGATAAACATCAGAATAGAACTAGTTAAATTAGGATATTTTTATGAGTAGAAATTAGTCCTATTTATATAAAAATATTATTATTAAACTTGAAATAGATAACAAAATTAGCACATGAGTATACACAGCCAAAAGTAGAAATAGTCGTAGTAGTGTAATTATTACTGTTGCACATTCGGACATTCCGTAACTCTATTTTATACTTATAATTCACGTAAAGTTTTGGTGGTCTAGTTGAAAATACTTTAATGCTAAACTCTATTATAAATAAATTATTTTGGAAAAAGTATCTTCAACATATCGAAGTTTTTAAGGGAAACGTAATTCGTAACTCGTAAGTGCGGACGGATCATTTGCATTTTTTTGCACATAGTACCACGATCGCAAAAAAATTATTGTTTTAATATTAAATAGGCGAATAATATCTTTAACTTTTACTCAAGTCATAACAATGCAGACCACGAAACAATGTCACATTACGACATTCGGGATTAAATATGGCGTATATGTGACATATAGGGTGTGCCGAATAGGATCTCCTACTAAAAAAATATGAAAAATGAAAACAGGAGGTGCGACACAGGGACGATGATATTTGGCATTTCGCAAAATATCACATTAGTCACAAAATTTTGTGACAAACACAAAATTACCACATACCGCCACACATTTTCACAAATTTAATTCTTTATATATAATTATATATAATATGCACATATATGCACAAAATTTCACAATAAAATACAAAATCCGCAGTGCGCAGTATAAATAAGGGGTAAATCGCTAAACTATAAGTAGTAATAAAATCAACAGTTTGTATGAAATCTACTTTTATCTAGAAAAAAAAAATGTCATCTAAACGACAAAAAACTAGTGCAGTTACAGTTCATACACGAGTTAAAGATTATAATGGAGTATTTCGTGCTGATAATGGTTTACTTTTCTGTAATTATTGTGACCTTTCAATAGAATGGAAACATAAATCAACAATAGATGCGCACTGTGCAAGTAAAAAACATGAATCACAAAGAAAAATTTTTGAAACAAAGGAACAAACCAAAAGTCAGCAAACATTACAAACTACTTTACTTTCCATAGAATCAAAAAATGAAGTGATAGAAGACTTGATAGAAGCATTTGCTAATGCAGACATTCCTTTAGAAAAAGTTAATATTTTACTTCCTTTTTTTAAAAAACATCTTAAAGAAGGAGGCGCAATTCCTCAAGCACCAACCTTACGTCAATTATATTTACCTAGAGTTTTTAACAAACATGTCAATACTTTAAAAACAATTTTTGATTCTAAACCTGTTTGTATTATTATGGATGAAAGCAGCGATGATTGTGCACGAAGTGTAGTTAATACTCTTTTTACATATCGTTCACATACTAAATTAGTCTCAGTTGATTTTTTAGAGCAAGTTAATAACTCAACAATTGCACAGACACTTCTCCCCATATTACATTCTTACAATATACCTTTAAATTTTCCACAATTATTTCTTTCAGATTCTGCTGCATACATGAAAAAATGTTACCGTGATGTCTTGAAACCAATCATGCCACAATTGATACATCTCCCATGTCCTGCACATATTTTAAATCTTATCGGGTAAAGTTTATTTTAAATTTAAATATTTGTATTGTTTATTAATTACAAATTTAATTACTATTAAATATAATTAATACAGGGAAACTTGGCGGGATTTTCCAAAATTTTCTCTTTTAAAAACATTTCTGGCTAAAGTTAAGGATTCTTTTGTCAAGTCTCCTGCACGAAAAGCTCGATATATAACTCATTTGTGTATGAATGGCATTACATCACCATGTAAAATTCCATTACCAAATAAAACTCGATGGAACAGTTGGTTCAAAATGGTCTTTTATACCAAAGAATATCTTCAATATTGGCTAGACTTTTATAGGATTGAGCATGAAAATGATCCAAGACATGAAACGATAAGTGAAATTTATTCAATTTTACAAAATTCACAACAACAAGGAATTATTACTATCTATACAAATTTTATTTCAATTTATGCTAAAGCATTTGTTCAAGATTTAGATTTTTTTCAGCAACAAAAAAAGCCAGTTTTTCCATTTGTTGAAACAAGATTGGAAAATCTTACAGCTTATCTTGAATCAAACCGAACTGCTGCTCATTTTGGTATAGAACTTGATGAAATCATAACACGCCTTCGTTTTAATCCACCAGAATTTTATCCTATTTTTCAAGCTGCTTTTGAAGTTGCATATAAAAAATATGAATTACATATTCCAAATCATCCTACACGTTCCTTATTTCGTGCAGCTCGTGTTTTTGATCCTAAATATATGCATATAGGAAATATTCAACGACATAGCATTTATCAATATTCAGTTATTAATGAACTTAATAATCCTTCAAATAACTTAGTACATGAATGGGGTATTTATTGTGGGCTGGAATTTGATGGAAGTGTAGATGAAAGTAAATTGGATGTTTATTGGAATAATCTAACAACTCGTTTACCGATCCTTTCCCAAATTGCATTTGATTATATTTGGCTACCTATATCTAGCTGTGCTGTTGAGCGTAGTTTTTCTTTATATAATACTCTCTTAGATAATGACCGTCAAAATTTATCAAAAGAATCACTTAAACAACTAAATATGATGTATTTTAATCGAGATGATTGAATTGTATATTTTTTTGGGGTTAAATAATAGTTTATTATAATAAAGTTGATATGAATTATCACATAATATCACAATTCTTATGAAAATCGCCACAAAATCTCACAAAATACACAAAAATTAGATTCACAACACAACGCAAAATTAGCTTTTATCACACACAAAATTTGCCTTAGACCGCCACAAAAAATCATCGTCCATGGTGCGACACTGCGACACCGATGATGAAAATCACGTGAAATTTCGTTCGTGTACTAATTGTGCATGATTACTAAAACCCATTTATAGGTTGGAATGAAGAGCCAATAAAAAATTATCACGTGATGTTAAATTTTGGTTACGCCAGCTCATGGACGATGATTTTTTGTGGCGGTCTAAGGCAAATTTTGTGTGTGATAAAAGCTAATTTTGCGTTGTGTTGTGAATCTAATTTTTGTGTATTTTGTGAGATTTTGTGGCGATTTTCATAAGAATTGTGATATTATGTGATAATTCATATCAACTTTATTATAATAAACTATTATTTAACCCCAAAAAAATATACAATTCAATCATCTCGATTAAAATACATCATATTTAGTTGTTTAAGTGATTCTTTTGATAAATTTTGACGGTCATTATCTAAGAGAGTATTATATAAAGAAAAACTACGCTCAACAGCACAGCTAGATATAGGTAGCCAAATATAATCAAATGCAATTTGGGAAAGGATCGGTAAACGAGTTGTTAGATTATTCCAATAAACATCCAATTTACTTTCATCTACACTTCCATCAAATTCCAGCCCACAATAAATACCCCATTCATGTACTAAGTTATTTGAAGGATTATTAAGTTCATTAATAACTGAATATTGATAAATGCTATGTCGTTGAATATTTCCTATATGCATATATTTAGGATCAAAAACACGAGCTGCACGAAATAAGGAACGTGTAGGATGATTTGGAATATGTAATTCATATTTTTTATATGCAACTTCAAAAGCAGCTTGAAAAATAGGATAAAATTCTGGTGGATTAAAACGAAGGCGTGTTATGATTTCATCAAGTTCTATACCAAAATGAGCAGCAGTTCGGTTTGATTCAAGATAAGCTGTAAGATTTTCCAATCTTGTTTCAACAAATGGAAAAACTGGCTTTTTTTGTTGCTGAAAAAAATCTAAATCTTGAACAAATGCTTTAGCATAAATTGAAATAAAATTTGTATAGATAGTAATAATTCCTTGTTGTTGTGAATTTTGTAAAATTGAATAAATTTCACTTATCGTTTCATGTCTTGGATCATTTTCATGCTCAATCCTATAAAAGTCTAGCCAATATTGAAGATATTCTTTGGTATAAAAGACCATTTTGAACCAACTGTTCCATCGAGTTTTATTTGGTAATGGAATTTTACATGGTGATGTAATGCCATTCATACACAAATGAGTTATATATCGAGCTTTTCGTGCAGGAGACTTGACAAAAGAATCCTTAACTTTAGCCAGAAATGTTTTTAAAAGAGAAAATTTTGGAAAATCCCGCCAAGTTTCCCTGTATTAATTATATTTAATAGTAATTAAATTTGTAATTAATAAACAATACAAATATTTAAATTTAAAATAAACTTTACCCGATAAGATTTAAAATATGTGCAGGACATGGGAGATGTATCAATTGTGGCATGATTGGTTTCAAGACATCACGGTAACATTTTTTCATGTATGCAGCAGAATCTGAAAGAAATAATTGTGGAAAATTTAAAGGTATATTGTAAGAATGTAATATGGGGAGAAGTGTCTGTGCAATTGTTGAGTTATTAACTTGCTCTAAAAAATCAACTGAGACTAATTTAGTATGTGAACGATATGTAAAAAGAGTATTAACTACACTTCGTGCACAATCATCGCTGCTTTCATCCATAATAATACAAACAGGTTTAGAATCAAAAATTGTTTTTAAAGTATTGACATGTTTGTTAAAAACTCTAGGTAAATATAATTGACGTAAGGTTGGTGCTTGAGGAATTGCGCCTCCTTCTTTAAGATGTTTTTTAAAAAAAGGAAGTAAAATATTAACTTTTTCTAAAGGAATGTCTGCATTAGCAAATGCTTCTATCAAGTCTTCTATCACTTCATTTTTTGATTCTATGGAAAGTAAAGTAGTTTGTAATGTTTGCTGACTTTTGGTTTGTTCCTTTGTTTCAAAAATTTTTCTTTGTGATTCATGTTTTTTACTTGCACAGTGCGCATCTATTGTTGATTTATGTTTCCATTCTATTGAAAGGTCACAATAATTACAGAAAAGTAAACCATTATCAGCACGAAATACTCCATTATAATCTTTAACTCGTGTATGAACTGTAACTGCACTAGTTTTTTGTCGTTTAGATGACATTTTTTTTTTCTAGATAAAAGTAGATTTCATACAAACTGTTGATTTTATTACTACTTATAGTTTAGCGATTTACCCCTTATTTATACTGCGCACTGCGGATTTTGTATTTTATTGTGAAATTTTGTGCATATATGTGCATATTATATATAATTATATATAAAGAATTAAATTTGTGAAAATGTGTGGCGGTATGTGGTAATTTTGTGTTTGTCACAAAATTTTGTGACTAATGTGATATTTTGCGAAATGCCAAATATCATCGTCCCTGCGCCAGCTTAATCTCTGCGCCACGTGCACCGTACACAGGAAACCTATAAAAAATTGCGATTGTTGATTGTTGTGTTTTTAAAAGTTAAAACTAAAACAAGAAAGAAAAAAAATGACAATTTATTAAAAAGATATACCGTATGCCGGTATATAATTAGTAGATTACATGTAAAGAATTACAAAAAACATGATTTGAATTTTTTAACAATAGAAGAAATAGATGAAAGTGAATGAATATTTTTTCCATTATTGATTATTATAGATTTGAAACAAACAAGAAATACCTTTATTAAAAATTTTTCGTATCAATTATAGTAGTACGTCAGATATGAATAATCTAAAAAAAGCTTCTATGTTCTTTTAAGAACTTTTAGAAGATAATTATTACACGAGAAAACCCGAATACGACAAAGTAACGACCGGGTATAATATATATTTATAATGTTAGGCAGCCCGGAATCAATTTTTATATTCCGCATGTCTCAAAAATTTTTTTTTTTTTTATAATTTTTTACTGTAAAATTTCTTGATATAAACCGGATTTATAATTTTCCACTGTAAATTCAAAAAAAAAAAAATTTTTTTTTTTTGACTTAAGTCGGAGAAATAACAAAAGTTTCCTTTTTATAATTTTTATAATTTAATTGATTTATGTAAATTCATAAAAAAACGGAGAAAAATTTTTTTATTATAGTCGGAGAAGGACGGAGAAAAATTTTTTATTATAATCGGAGAAGTAATATAATTTTCGGAGGAAAAATAAAAAAAAATTTTTTTTTTTATCTCGACTCAGAGATCCCCGAAAAAAACACATGAAAAAAAGGTCACATGTGAGCCAAAATATTTGTGTAGGTTTTTCCTTTTATAGGTAGTGTCGGACAGAGGTTTTTTAAATACTGCGTAATTCGGCCCTGAAAGATGCAAAATCTTGACCACCATATCGAGTCTTATAGTGAAGAAGTATGTGACGATTGCGTATGGTTGATTTTGTAGTCATGTTTAATTTTGACCGAAATGTCGAAAACACCGAAAATACCGAAAATGCATACATCATATGCACGAATAGTTAATTAAAATCACATGTCCATACATTATTAAGAATGTTGTTATCTTTTTTTTGAGTTTTATCAATTTTCTGATTTTAAAGTGAAAAAAGTAAGAAAAATAACTTTCAAAAAAGGGTAAAATTACAAAATTACAAAAATGAATATATGATATATGTGATAAAAAGTGATCTTGAAAAAAAAACTAAAATTTTTTTAAAAAAACAAATGAATTTCCACAAAATGTATAAAATGTATAAAAATATCATCAAAGTCCCAAAAAGAAACTTTTTTTTTTAAAAAAAAAAAAGAAAAAAGAAGCCCGCGTTTCAAAACAAAAAAAAAAAAAAAATATTAATTTACCCTAAAAAACTAACTCATAATGTTTTTAAAATAAAAGAAATAATTAATATTAAAAATATATATATCTCTAAAAAAAGTGACATTAAATCTAAAAGAAGAATGGAAAGAAAAAAAACCGGATAATAAATAAACAAATCAAACCCGTACTTTGTATAGATTTCATCATGTTTGTAGTACCGATTAGCATATTTTATCAACCATACATTATATACTTTCACATTACATGAAATGTTACCTATTTAACACTCAGAGAATTGTGACTCAGAGAATTTGAATCAGAAACCAACAACCAAAATATTTTATATAAAGCTAATAATGGATGGTATACCATTTTTTCAAAAATACAAAAAAAAAAAATTCTTTAAAAAAATGGATCGTACTGCGTCTCTTGTGCCTCATAACACATTTGAATTTTATTTGCCTTTACCAAATGATACACGTATTTACCGGGTTACGTATAAGGCATTATATTTATTTGAAGTCGCTCAACTCTTGAATAAAAATATTAATTTATCTCATATTCCTGATTATGAGTTTCCACATCATTACAATATACAATCATTAATTAAACAACGATTTGGACCTCAATTTATCCAACCACCTTACGTACCTTCTGCGCCATCTTCTGCGCCATCTTCTGCGCCTCAAACCACATTTGAATTTTATTTGTCGAATGATTTATTTATCTACCATATTACCTATACTGAATTACATCCATTTGAAATAGCTCAACTTTTAAATAACAACAATAATAATAATTTTTATTGTTATAATTCCCAATCTTTAATTGAACCACTCGTTGAATTTCAGAATTATCAAAATAGCATTCAACAACAAATTTTTGATGACATGAGTATTCAAGATTATAATATTCATAGCGCGAATTCTGATTCTGAAGATATGCAAGGTACGGAATATGTTGGATATGCGGAATATGATGAAACTGCACCGACTCAACCCGATTATTGAATTGTTGTTATCGATTTCTTATTATGTATTTTTTTTATGTATTTGTTTTTTTTTTTCATTTTAAGTTAATCCTAAGTTATGGTTTAGTTTCCATTTTAGGTCTTTTATTTTTATGGCTAATCTATGTATTTATATGGTTATTAATAAAGATTTTTAATTTTTGAAATCATCATATATTTTTTAATTTGAACATGTGAACGAGAGTCGGGCCATTTTATATTATACCATCTATAGTGTAAAACTACTGCGAAAATGGGTTGAAACTTTTCTTGGGCTGATAGAATTGATGAGAGATATATATATACATACATACATACATACATGCATATATATATATATATATATATATATATGAAATAACTGGGAATTTTACTGTACCACAAATTCTTTGCAGTTTTTATATTCAATTATTTATTTAAACAATGGCATTTAGGAGAGTAAATGTAATAGATTTGGTGATGAAATTTGTGATAAAATAGAAAATCAAAACAAAGATATTGATTATTCCTATTTCAGTCTCGCGGAATTAATGCCGCAAAAAATAAAAATGAACAAGTCACATGACACCCACCTAAAAAGGGTTTATTGTTAATTTATTTTTTCTTTCAAATTTTTTATTAATGAGTAAATGAGAAACGTATAAGTCAACTTATGAATGTAGACCGTTTTGCTCGGTGAGAAACGTGTCAATTATATCTTATGTAATTATCTTTAAATAATAAATGTATATAAATATATAAATACATTATCTATTAAAGTATATAATTTAAACTTTTGAGAACTTAATCAATATAATCTGTTTCACTACATTAAGAGATTTTTTTTTTCTTCAAAATAAATATGCAAATTTAATTTATTTTTATCAAAAGAATCTTTGATTCTTCATTATTTTTTTTTAATGGCATAATTAAATATAAAAAAGAATTAATTATTAAAAAGAAAATTTTTATCTTAAATCTTTCAGTTACCTTGCATGCATACCTTTGATATGATACCAAATTCGGCCAAAAATAATAATATTCTTAATCTCAGATATCTGTTTAAATTTTTGAAAAAAAAAAAATAAAAAGTTCCATTATTTAAAGAGATCCAATTTTTCATGATTTTTTTTTAAAAAAATTCATATATTTTTCTTTATTATTTTTTTTTTAATATATATATATATATATAAATACATAAAAACAATAAAATCTACCACGTCCACCACGTAAATTCATTCCAAATTACGGACCGCGGTAAACTTAAAAATTTTTCGATGGTGCAAGGTTTGCGAAACTGATTCCATGAAAGAAACTTTCTTCATTTGGATTAAATAAAATAAGAGATTGATAATTAATCCGAAATATTCAACTAAACGCCTCTCAAACAATGGAAGGGGATGTCAAATAAATCACTCTCATTGGCTGAATTACAGAAGAAGCAACATCAAATTACATGTTAAGTCATAAAGTGTTACGAGAATATCAACCTGTAACTAACAAATATATACTTATTTTTTTTAAAAAAAAAAATAATTAAACGAGTGGATAATCAAACAAAAAGGATAACAAAATTAACAAACTTAACATACCTTTATTAAATAATAAGATTTTATTTCGGGATAAATGAAATAATACCTTGATCATTCTAGTGGAATTCTTACTTGTAGTAATATGTTCAATACGTTATGAGGTATCATCGAAAGTCTTGGAAGAATTCATCAAGAATTTTAAATAATAACCTCAAAATCCACATAGATAACTATCTTTTTCCTGAAATGTATTTAAATATAAAATTTAATTAGTTAAAAGCTTTTCATTAATCTTTAACTAGAATAAAAGAATAATTAACATAAAAAATTCAATTTTCTTTTACTAAATGCTGAGAGAAAAGGTTCATAGAAATCTCCATGGAGGGAATTTACTTGTAGTCGAAAATTTTTGTGATAGGTACTCGTATTTACGTATCGCTGATGTGGATCTTCCATATATACGGGGATTTACCATATATTGGTCCGGAATTTACGTGGCGATACATTTGTTCACTTGACATTATTATTAACACTCTTGCAACCGGACAAAGATTTTGAATTAAATAGAGCACATGATATTAGTTTAGCGAAAGACATACGTGATGATGGTAATTCCGGATGACACACCAAAATTTTATGACAGAGTTAATACGACAGTGTTGGATGATGAACTAGAAGATCGACCGACTTCTACATGGGGGTGAATTAGGTTCAAGACATGCCGAAATATTACGGCACATTACACCAATTCAGCATTACAATACTACTTTAATATGAATCTTCGAACAAAAATTTGGTGCACCTTCACGCCGCCTAATTGCCGAATTATCTGGAATAATTATGTTTCCATATATGCGACCAGACCGACTGCATCTGAAAAATTGGGTGAGTGGATTACTTTCAGTTAATTTGTGATGACCCTAATCCTTCAAATATTTCAGACGAAAAAGTTCTTTTACTAAAGAAAAATGATTTTATAATTACCTAATAAATAATCCCAGATTCAGAACCACTGTAAACCTACAACTTCTTTCGGATGGTGCAAGGTTTGCGAAAATGATTCCATGAAAGAAAACTTTCCTCACTTGGATTAAAGAAAGGAAGAGATTTATGAATTAATCCAAAACATTTCAACTAATGTTCCTCAAACTTATAATTATCCTGTGTGAAAAATTTGAAATGTCTATCTATTTGAGAGCTAATATTTATTCAGCGTTTTGGATGTAGAACCTAGGTGGATTCGGAGTAACAGAGCACAAGAATGATCTCGAGACAGACTTATGGCATGTTTGAAGCTTCTTGATAACTCACAAAACATATCGAGTTTTTAAGAGTTTTTTAGGTAATATATATTTTTGTTCGGTGAAATGATTTTCCGATCCATCCACAATTAAATAATATTTATTATTTATTTATTTATTTTTCTCATAGATTAAAAAGTATCACAAATGTTTACAATCGTCTTAATTGGTTGAATAACGAAAAATTCAACATCTAAGTACATGATAAATATTACGAAAATGGAAACTTAGAATGGTTTCTTGGCGTAAGACATGTTTATGGAGTATTTACGGAGATCTCGTACTGAAAGTAAAGCTCTTAAACCTTTTCACGAAAGAAATTTACTATCGAGAACGAAGAAAATTTCAACTGATGCACATATTGATGACGTGACCTTTATAGAGACTTCATAACCATACATTGCGCCAGAAGTTTTAATACTACTTTTGACATTTATTAATTTGTTTTGAACACTCTTGTAATCGGACACAGAGATGATTTAAAAGACATTAATTCTGGATGACACACTAAATTTTACGTAAAGTTAATGCGACAATGAACTAGAACATTGTCCACATGTACCTTAAAATTAGAGAATGGATTATTTTTTTGTGAAACCCCAAATCTTTCAGGAATTTCAGATGAAAGTTCTCTTGCTGATGAAAAAAAGATGGAAAATGATTCCATAATCGTCTAAAAAAATATGTCATCCAGAAAAACGACCTGAAACATATTGTACATACAAGTAGACCTTTGTTTTTCCTGAATTATCAAGATTATCAAGTGACATGTATTGGCCATTACAGTATATTAGGCTATATAATTCCGTTTATCGTTTATATTTAATAGGAGATTGTTAGCTTTAGGTAAGTTTTAAAATAAAATCGAAACTTTTATTAAAAAAAGTTTTTAATGTTTTAACATTTTTCTCTTTTTATAGGGACTTTCGGTTCCGTTATGAACACCTATTTCTGAGGTAAGTTTCGAAAATAATTTTTTAAAAACTTTTTTTTTATTTAAAAACGTTTTTAACGTTTTTTTTTTTTCTTTTTGTAGTCTTCGGCTTCAATAATATAGCTATAATATACGGGTATAAGGAACTTGATATTTTTTGTGAATTATCAAGACGTTTCAAAGCATATATGAATCTAGCTCGGATCATTCTTGCGTTCTATTATCAAAATCCACCTTGGTCCTCCATCCAAAGTGCTGAATAGAAATTAGTACTTGGTCATTTCAAATTTTCAAAGCAATTAAATTTTAATATCTTTATCTTTTTAGTGTCCTAATAGGAAAGTTTTTTTTCATGGCATTAGTTTCGCATTCCTTGCACCATTCAAAAAGAGGTCCTATAGTTTCCTTAAGTTCTGAATCTTCTATTTTTCTGGAACATAAATCAAAATTAAATGATAGAAAGTGTTAGCGAAATCGAAGTGTTTACGTTTGAGAATTCTTTTATAACCAATGAATATCGTACATAAGCAAATCTTGATGATTGGGAATATCTTGATTAATTTGTTGGATAAGAATATCGAAAGAAAATACAAAAATATAATGCATGTAAAGTGTAAAGTTTAAAATTAAAAGAATCACAGAAAAAAATAGTCAAATAATAAATCGATAGTTTGAAATAATTTTCGATATAGCGTTTATTAAATGATCATGTGATTTTTCAAGGATACATTTTATAAATAAACTTATTTTAGTAATCTCATTGTTAAAAATCCCTGTGTCACTAAAAGTCAGTTTTATGTAAATATGTTCCTGAAGTTAGATCTAGATGTATAACAGATAACGTACATTATCACTAGATTGCGAACAATACATTTCACGCGAACCGCAGTTGAACACAAAACATTATTAATATCGATATTGGACGCATTGAATATCCTTTGTAATTTGTATCCTTGTGACCTTGTGTTACTTTCTTGACCCTCATTCAGTGTAATAGTAGTGTAATACCATGCTGGTCAGGTATCAGTAACACAAGGAAGGGATAATGAATGAGATTTTTGCCACGGTAACTAACGGGTAATTGATCGAACACAGAAATGATATATTTTTATTATTTAAACAGTATATATATATCTATTATATTAATTCATGAATGATATGGTTTTGGTGAAAGTTTCCCTCTTGATCTTGTTTGTTATGATTAACATATGATGAAAACATAATGCTTAAAGTTTCATCTTATTATTCATTCTAATTAAACCATTTCTTCACCGATTGATTAAAAAACTTTCATTGGTTCCTTTTACTATTAAGGTTTATTAAAAAGTACTTCCTATTCCGATAATGCATTATCGCGTGATACTTATTCGTATTACCTTTTGAATATCACAAGATCAATGACTTACAAATACAGCAATCGATTTATTTAGTGATTCATATTGATATTATAAGATAAATATTTTACAAATGAAGAATTTTAGTGATATAATGATTGGTAGTTTTTTTTAAAAAAAAAAGTATATTTATTTATATATTCTTTATTATATTTAAAAAAAAATAGATACATGTTTAAAAAAATAGATGCATGTTTGATAAAATTCCATTCATTATTGGGACAAAAATAATTTTTTAGTTAACCAAATAAAGTATGGTCAATAAAGTGTGTCAATATGATAACATGAATGACAACATGGCATATGATATATAAACAAATATAACACCATGAGGATCATCCCAAAAATAATCGTTTTCTTTCCTTTCAACGATTTTCTATAAAAAAAAAAAAAAAAAAAAAAATGTCCGTACCTTCAATTCAAATATCTTCAATAAGTAAAAAATCAATAATTCCATTACCAGAAGATTGTACTTATGAAATTATACAACAACTTCCAGAAGATACATCAATACTTCATAAATTTTTATTCGTCAATAGATTTTGGTGTAAATGTATAATTTCTATATTATGGAAAATTCCTTTTAATAAAATAAATGAAAATAAAATAAAACAAACACGATTAATTCATACTTATCTTGGATGTCTTGATGAAGAAGAAAAGAATTATATAGAAAAAGATAATCTTTTTAATCTTCCTCTTATTAAAAAACCTTTTTTTAATTATGCAAGATATTTAGTAAGATTTACTATAAGTGAATTGGATTCATCAGTTAGAGCTTGGTATGATAATTATATGGAATTAAAATATGAACGTATTATTAAATGTATAATGAATTCTATATATCATTTATTCATTAGATCTAATAATAATCATTTAGTATCATTGGAATTTAAAAAAGATTGGATTCATTCTTGGAGTTGGGAAAAAGTTTTACAAGATAATATTAAATTATCAAGTATAAAGAAACTTAATATTGAATTACATGAAGATTTAGAAGAAGATGGTGATTATATATTATCAGATTTAAAATTTTATAATATTTTATTATCAAGATGTAATTATCTTCAATCCTTAAAAATTTATTTTAAAACTCATAGTAAAAATTATTTTAAATATTTTTCATCCAATCAAATAATTAAAATGATTCAAGTACAAAAAAATCTTCAAATTTTAAATATTTCAAATTTTTATCAATATGGATTAGAATTAACAAAAATTATTTCATCATTAAGTTCTCAAATAAATTCTTTAAAAGAATTACAATTTATTGAAGTTAATTTTACAAATTGTTCTTTAATTGGATTAAAGATTTGTTTAAATTTGGATTCATTATCTTTTACTTCATGTAATGGATTAACAATTGATCATATTAATTCTTTATCTAATTCATCTTTTAAATTAAAATCTTTATATTTTTATGATCAAACAACTATTTATCAAAATATAATTACAAAAATTTTATCTTTATTTGGTAATTCTTTAACAAAATTTGGAACTTCTTTATTAACTGATTTTGTTATTGAAACTACTTCAATTAGATGTTCAAATATTAAATATCTTTCTATAATTATTGAAAATGATGATCTTCTTCATCATAAAATTTTTCATTGGATTTATAATTTGGAATTATTAGAATTAGATATTACTATTTATATTCGAGATACTTATGAATTTTTTAAATTATTAGGTAAAAATTTACCAATTACTTTAAAAATATTAAAATTAAGTTGTCATTATATTTCTCATAATTCTTTAAGAAATCTTTTTAGTTCAAGAGTAAATTTAGAAAGATTAATATTTAGAAATTCTTATGAATTTACTTATGATTGTTTAATGGTTATTTATGAATATATTAGATATTATGAAAATTTTAAAGAATTAACTTTTAAAACTTATAAAAAGGAATGGAGTTTAAGAGATTTAAAAGTTTTAAAGGAAATTAAAAAATATTGTCCTTTGGTTAATTGTGAATTTGGTATTTCAACTGTTGAAGAAATGTTAGATGAATGTATCCTTGAAGATTTCTTATTTTAAAAATCATTTTAAACAATTTTGTTCAAAATATTTTAAGAATTATTATTTCATTTTATTTTATTTTATTTTATTTTTATTTTATTTTTATTTTATTTTTTTTTTATTGTATTTAGATATTCTAGAATTTTAAACTGAATTAAATTAAAAATTCACGAAAACATTAATTAATTACAAGTTTAATAAAAACTAATCTAGATAAATTCAAGATTTTTAATTAAATTTTAAATATTCTTTCCATAGTATATGTTTAAAAATCATTACATATTTATTCGCATTTAATCTATTTTTTTAATCTCCACATTTTAGGTGGTAAAGCTAGAACGAATAATAAATTAAGATTATTAAGTAATTAAATAATTCAAATAATCAAAAAAAATAATAAATTTTCCTTACTTTGTAATGCTTTAATCTGAGGAAAAACAAATCCAAGTAATAAAATGGTACCAATTGTAATTGTCGCTATCGATACAATATAATATCCATCTTTATGTACAACACACGTACCACCATTATCTTTACATATAGTTTTACCTTGTTCACTAACGCATTGTATTACTAAACAAAAATATCAAAAGGTAAGTAAAACATTTAAAAAAAAGTTATAATCAGTAAATATTAATAAAACTTACTGCTAGTAGTGTTGTCTTTAACAATTTTACATGTAGCCTCTGTGAAATAATCGACAGCTTCTAATACAAAGAATCTAGGCCATGTTCCCCCAAAGTTACTAAACGTAGCTAACAACTTTAATAATAAATGAAAAGTCAATCATTAGCAAATATAATATTTAAATGATCATTAATTATATTGAACTTACTGTCATATATGTTCCACCTATAACTGGATCAGCGATTATAGTAAAGAAAGCTGATATACTAACGAACTGTACAGTGCTAATTCAAAAAAAAAAAATCGTATTAACATCAATTTTAACATGGTTCAATCATATGCAATTCATACCTCATAAAAGAGCTCATTACAGTGCTAGCTATTACAAGAGAGAACATTTCAGTAGAAATTTTTTTATCAGTCGGGAATACATATACAACTATCATTCCAACAGCGGCAAAAAATAATCGACCATAAAATGCTATAGTCCACTATGAAAAAAAAAAATCGTTAATATGCAAAATATTAATAAATCATATTACATATCACTTACAGGTTTTAAAGGCTGTGGGCCATTACTCCATCTAGCAGCATAATAACCAACTAAAAGTTGAATTGGAAAATCGATCAATACAGCCAAAGCCAAGTCTTCTTTACTAAAACCTTTTTCCAAAAGTTTCAATCCTGTAACGGACTCATTTGCGATAAATCCAATCTTTGCCACAAGCAAGACCACAATAAGTCTGCGCATATCTGTTAAAAATAAAAATAAAAATATTAATGTAAAGTACATATTTTATTATAATATAATTGTTATAATGTTCTTACGAGGCATTTTACATATGTTCCATATCGTCCTATATACTGTTTTGATATCCATTTCATCAGAAGAATGCGTAGCATCCTAACAAATCAAATATATATATTAATTATTCTTACATGTATAATATGTTTATAAAGTGACATTAAAAAATTCTAACCTCTCCTTTAATAAAAATCAACCAAATAGTCACAAGAAGATATACAACAGACCAAAAAGTAAGATATGACCCCATTGATAGAAATCCATTATCAATTGGTTCTTTTCTGAAATATTTGTTGCTAAATTCGGCAGAATTGAACGCCAAAAATACTGTAAATGATAAAAAGTATCCTGTATTTAATCCTATAGTTTGTGCTGTTGATGCGTAAGAAAGACTATTCTTTGATAATAATGTTAACGCCCACCCATCAACAGCAATATCTAAAATAAATAAAATAAGATAAAATGATAAATAACAAATATAACAAATATAATATTAAATATAGATTAATTTAAATTTTTCGTACCTTGTGTGGCAGAAAAAAATATTAGTATAAAAAATAATAACGTTAAAGTATTCACATCAGGCTTTTCTTGATTAAACATTACATCAACATGTTTTCCAAGCCAATAAAATAAACTCCCAGTTAAAAGTTGAATTGGTATTATCCAACTTTTTCTGCGTCCAACTCTTTTTGAATAGATAGCATCAACAATCGGTGACCATATTAATTTTAAACTATATGGATAAGTGGCTAAAGAGAAAAGTCCAATTTCTGAATATGATAGTTTCGATTTTAGTAGAAATGGAACTGAACCAAATGCTAATCCCACAGGAATTCCTTGTAGTAAATCTATAAATTAAAAAAAAAGAAAAAAAAAAAACATTTATTAAAAACCAAACCCTTATATTTAATTTACAATTTAAAATTTCGGAAATTACTTACAAAGTACAACAAGTAAAGCCACATTTTGATAATCTTGCGTGCTTAAACGAGGATAAGCCTCGACACTAATTCCACTGGTACCTCCTGAATCCATGGTTTCTAAGAGAATATCTTCTCTGTCTTCAACACTAATATAATTTTTCTTTTTCGACTCAACAAATCCTTCTGAACTTGCGTTAAACATTTCATTTAAGGGATAATTAGATTTCGCTGTTGTTGATAAAAAGTGGCCACCGTCGTCAATAATATTATGAGATATTGAATGTTTGGTTGTGACTTCAGATTTATTAGGATGATTCCGTTCATGCGAAACACGTCGTATAAGTTTATCGTCGTCTACATCTAATTGAAAGCCCGTCGGGTTTGAATCTCTAGTAGCTTTTGAAATGATTTGTCATATATGATTTTGTAATGAATATGTAACAATCTTATCAAAAAAAATAAAATTCACGTGTCTTAATTTACCTGACATGGCAACAAATTCAATAGCCGAAAATAGAGGGATTTGTTTAGCAAAAAAAAATATATTTGGGGTATTTATAATCTTTAGTAAATTAAATAATTTTGCTTATTTTGCTTATTTTGGTAGCATCCGACGCATTATCTGTAGATCGGTACTGCATTCTATCTTGGTACTTGGCAACTATCTATTCGTTGCTTAGGTACCCTGTCAATATTTAAATTTGAGCAGAATTACGAAATATGCTATATATGTAGCTTATTGAAATAGCTTATTTAACTTGACAAAGCTGAACAAACAAGCTTGCCGAGCCATTGTGATGAATTTTTTATTCAAGAACCGAATTAAATTCGACAAACAAATAAATAAAAACGTAAACATCTCAAAATTGTTATCCATGCCGCAACCCGGAATATTGAATATTTCCAGAATTTAAATCACCAACCATTTTTCTCATTAATTAAAAAAATTTTCTATAATCAAAAGTAGAACAAGGCTTTGGTACAAGGCTAACGGTTCTTGAAAAAAGTAATCGGAATTACAGAAAGTGCAAAAAATTAAAAACCAATGATTAGAATGGGTTTAAATTTTGCAAATTTGTTGTTAAATGTGTAAAGACTATACATACAAAATTTCAGCTCTTTATCATCTCATAATCGATTTTTGATTCAAAATAAAAAGTCATCAATTGCAGTTTATTAAAGACTGAACGATTACAAAATAAATTTTACAGTGTTTATATCAAAATCCGGCGATATGAGCATAAGAGTATCTTTAATTGATTTATTAAAAAAAAAAATTGTTGTCATGACTTCCGTTAATATATATTCAGTGTTATCAATAATGTACCACTTGATAGCAACCGAAAATCGAAAACTACCACGCAAAGTTACTGAAATCGGACATATCGGCTGATTGGAAAAAGATATGATTATTTGTCGAAAATCATTACAGTATATACAGTATATATATAATGACGTGCATATATAAAATAACTTAATTTAGTTTAGAGTTATAAATAATACAGAGAATCATTTTTTTGATCAAGTGTCAATCAATGAGAAATGAAACTCTATATTAATTTATCGAAGTATATATTGTATTTCGTCATCCAATTAAGAGTCTATTTAAAAAGGTATATAATTACAGTTGGCCCCCTCTATAGACACACCCCTTGGGACTAAAAAAATATGGTGTGATTATAAAAATACTATATGGTGTGACTAAAGAGGATTTTTTTAATAAGTTTATTAATAACATAAATGTGTTTATAAGGAGGGTATAATTATATCTGGGTGTGTCTATAGAGGGGGTTGATTGTATATACATAACCTTTATTTCATGGAAATATTTTTGACTTCTTTACAGACATCTTTTAATCATTTAAAATTTACAAACATGTTCAGACTTGCAGCTAGACAATATGTCAGTAATATTCCATAACTAGTAAAGTTTATAAAGGTTATAAATAACTTAATTTTTTACTATATAAAAATTAGATGAGTTTAAGTTTCAAAACTTTTTTAAATCTGAAGATTTTAAATGTTTTTCTTGCATTAGTGGCATCACAACATTTACTGCTGGTATTATGTATGGTAACTGGAATATGATCAACTAGTTGATTGACAAATTCAAGTATTTTCATTCAAATTTAGAAACTTGACGCACTTGATATTAAAAACCTCTGCACTTATCAAGAAAGTTAGCTATGTCAAAGGTTTTTTAAAGATTTCTAAAACAGACAAAAAAGATAAAAAATAAAATTGATACCACCTTTATACATAAAAGAGAAATAGTAGCATTTTTATTAGTAGCAGTTTTTTTTTCCTATATAATATATTATAAAATTTTAACAAAATTTACATATCTATTTCTTGCTAAAATTATTGATTATAATAAATAAAATAAAGCTTTATTTTTGTTAAAATTACAATTATATTTACTTTTATAATATAAGCTTTATGTAGACAAAAATTAGAGATCTCAGTTTGCCAAAAATATATAAGGATTACATAGATAATAGATCAGCATTTTTACTTCTTAGTTATAGCAGAAAATGCTAGAGAAGTGAATGAATACATAATGCTATTAAAGAGAAAGGGAAGTTATTTTTTGCTTACTAAAATATTTATAGCTAATTTGTTCCTATTACTATTTTTAACTATTTACCTTTCCTTCTATAAGCACAAAATTTCTGAAATAATCTATTCCAAATATATATATAATATTTTTATATATTTAAATTACTCTAATTTATATAATCATATTATTCACAAGTAATAACTTATAGAAAAGTCTGGATATTAACAGTATTTCTAATACTTATGTTACAATTCACTTTCTTAATATTTCACTTTTTTTATAATAATGTATTATAATAAAGTATTTTAATTTTTATACCAAAATTCATGTCAGATCATGTCAAGACAGGACCCTGAAAAATACATATGGAGGTCATAAATGATCGGCAAGATTTTGGTCTAAAATAAGCAACTTTTCAGGGCCAGAATTATGATAATGCTGGCCAGTATCAAAACAGACAATAAAATTTAGGCCGGCACTATCTAAAAAAGGCAAGATTTTATGAAAATTTTGGTTCTTTTTAAGCAAACTCAAATATGACCTTTTTATGTATTTTTCGGGGTTCTGTCAAAACATATGATAAAAATCAGGTGAGTAATTTATAATTCAAAGAGAGATTTAATAAAAAGAGTATATATTTACTTTGATTTTGTACTATATATATAAAGTCAAAAGAAATGGATTTATATTATGATAACATTTTTCTAGAAACTGGTATGAAATTATATAATTAATAAATCATATATACAGTCAACTCTCTTTATAGTCACACATTTGGGACAGTCCATATTTGGTGATTATAAAGAGATGTGACTATATAAAAAATTTCTTATATTTGTATATCATAATTCCGGCCAAAAATTAACATAATTTTAGCCAGAATTATACTTAAAACTTTATTGTATCGTAACTTCGCCAATATTAATCGTAGAGAGATGATCTTATCGCCATTCGATTCGTCTTGATGAGACGGTTCTAATGGTAAAAAATACGTCGAAATCCAATCACTAGATTAATTTCCGAAATTAAAAAAATATTAATGGTTTTTGTGTAATAACTCTG